TTAGTAGTAGTCAATGCTGTTAAAAGTATTGCATTAAGATATATGCACATCCTCAACAAAGGTTTTTTTTCACATCTTGAAAACAAGATTTTTTTTTTTAAACCACTTTCTGGTTTCTTGTACATTGTCATTTCATCCGTATTCTGCAAAACCCTTTTCTATGTAAGGTATCTCAAGTCAGTTTGTAGCACTCTTTTTTCCCCAACGCTGAACCCCCTTTGAGCAGAAGCTATCTTCAGTGTTGAATTTTGCAATGTTTTTTCAAAGCATAAAAAAACCCCTGCTGGAATGTAGGTTGTAATCTCAAGCTTCCAGGAGTTAGGTAAGTCTTACATCTATTCCGCTTTAGCACTCTGACAGTGAATTTCCTCATAAACGTATTGCCTGTCAACAGAATTTTGTAGGTAAAGCAAAATTGTCTTTAAAATTTACCAGCCTATGCACAAATCTGTTTCTGTCCCTTAGCGGAATTATGATATGAAAAATCAGTGACATTCATTGCTCATTCTATGGCCATTACTTGTCATAAGGAGTGGAGTTGTGTATGGCTTGGATACAGCATCTGAATATTACCTTTCACAATTAGACATCAGCATTATTTTTGTGATAGATAACACTATTTTAAATGATCAGTTATTTATTCCATAGTGTGTTACTGTCCTTTTATTTGACAAGAAATAGCTGTTACCCTCACGTGACTCTTAAAGTATAGGCCTGAGAGAGTGGATATGGAAGATTTCTGAATCGAGTCCCCTGCTAGTGCAAGCAGTCTCAGCCTATCATGTCACATTTTGGCTTGTGAAATGTTTGGGCCTATCATCTTAAAACTGAGGTTTTATTTTGGTTTTGTCATTCCTTTATTCTTCTGCACTGTTCAGAAATGGCAAAAGCTGAATGTGATCCTGACCGATGCCTGAACATAATACTTTGTGTTTCCACGAATGGTAAACTGCTCCCAGTCAATCTGTTTCAGTCTGCTGGGGTTAAACACCTCTTTTCAAGATAATTTGGCTTAGTATTGCATCACTGTAATGTAATTCTGTATCCTAGGATGTGATCATTATCCACCTTTGGGTGAAAGAAGCCTCTTCCACCTTCTTGTCTCCCAGCTTGCTTTCTCTCATTTCTCTTTGTAAAAGCATAATTAAAATCTTCCCTCCATTCAGAAGTAATCTTAATTTTGAAATCATCTAATTATGTGCTTTGTTCAGAGAAAAAGCTCCAAGAAGATGAGGAAGTATTGCAGAGATAATGGATTGTGGCATCAGGCTGCAAAGTGGTGTCACACATAACACTGTTGCCCTACTTACTTGTTTCATTGGCTGAAAGTTTTAATTATAGCTTTTTTTCTGCCTGGTGACATGTTAAGTGCTCAAAATGTCAGGTCAAAGGTTGAGGGCTAATGTTTTAGCTAAAAATAACTCCAAGCGTTATTTATACCTGAGAAAGAACTCGGGGTGCTGTTATTTGTGTTTTCTGGGGATTTTTTCCTTTGTTTTGTTTTGGGTCTTTGTTGTTTTGGTTTGGTTTTAATGCAGCCTGGTTATGAAAATTTCATTTGGCATAAGCAGAGGTTCTATTTTAGACTGACCGTTGCTTATACCAAACCATTAAAAATAATTCTCACCACATTTCATGCGCTATCCAAGGTATTTTGATTCTGTTTTACCTGTTACTTTCTTTTCAATGTGGCATTTTGTTTCTTTAATGACATAAAAGAGCCCTCTGCCAAGCTGACACGGCTGCCTGGCAGGACTACCCCTACCCTCCTTCTTGAAAGACTACGTATGTTGCTGCCTGTGGTAGGACGTCCATATGCCAAGTCTTCCCTGGGGTTGTGGCAGTAACAGCTCATCCCCTGCCGCTGTTGCGTTTGGGGTGTTGTGTTACGCTGATTTCTCCTTCCTCAAATGTCGAGTGTGATCTTGGCTGTTCCGTTGTGTTTTCCTTTCTCTCTGCCAAAAAGCAGAAAGAATAATATGCTAGAGGATGGTCACTCCAGTGTGTTAAAGCAAAACAATGGACTAATGTACTTCTGAAGACAAGAGTGGCTCTGAGCGTGGATGGAGCGCTGGCAGGGCGATGCGAGAGGACTCCGCTGCAGACAATGAGCGAGCCCTTTGTTTCTCATGATTGCCGTAGCTGCTGCAAACACAAATATTCATTGCAGAAGAGGTGGCAGCAACGTTTTCAGCTCTCACAGAGCCAGCCGTATCTTCTCTAGGCGAATTTATGAAAAGTGTATGTGTGTATGTACTTATACAGTAATATAATAATGGATCCCTTATTCCTGAGCACATGAATGAGTGCTAAGGAGAAGAGTATGTCTTCGTATCTTATGACATGGGGGAAGGAAACGCTAGGCTAATTAGCAACAGTATTCTTAAGGAGAAATTATTTCAACCTCATTTTTTCATTACTGTCTTTGAAAACATGGAGCTCCCTCCTCTGCAGCGCTCTGAAGAGCCTAGTGTTTCCTACCCCTCCTGAGCTCCCGAGGAGGGACTAGGGACTGCAAAACCAGCGTGCGCTTTCCACGCTCACACACACGTCCTTCAGGGATGTGACAGTTAGAATGAGACACCTTTATTTCGTTCTTCCTCTCTTGGCAACAGAGTTAGTTTTTTGTTGGCAGTTTTGTTAGAAGTCTGTAGTACTGAGGTTGCATTACTTTTTTTTCTGAAAGCCTTCTGTACTTTGGGAACTAAGCTGAAAATAAGCTTAATCATCAGAGGATACATTTCATAAGACTTGAGCTTCATGAATCTTCGTATATTTAATACATGAAGCAGACCCGGTGATCTACAAATGAAAAGCTTGTTATGTCGTTGCCCATCTCCTGTATTAGGCAGCTCCTGAAATCAGACCAGAAGTTTCATATTTTATAATGGTGTAGTTGTTTTTTTTCTACCAGTGGAGGTAGAGCAGTGGAGGAATATAAGAGCACTGCCTGTCCTATGAGAAAGTGTTCTCTGTTTTTGACTCACTGCAGGAACTGTCTGTGTGAGCGGAAAATTGTTTGTTATTGGTTGTCCCATTTAGGTCTTCGGCTGGACTGCTCTCATGTCCTTCCGCTGCTCTTTTTGAACATGAGCATCCGTACAATTCACGCCACCTCCTGACGGGCAGAGCTACAGGCTGTCCCGCGTGCACGTCTGTCTACTGCCAGTGGACTCAGGGAGGGGGCAACGGGGAAGAAGTGTTTCTTCTTCCTTTCCCAGCTGGAAATCTCCATCACTACCGCAAGCCATCCCAGGCACCACAGACCTCCCTCAGGAGTGTGCGCAGCAGGCTTGATGGCCGCTGTAAGGAAAGGTCCCGTAGGCGGGTGTTTTCATTTTCCTGTGGCCGAGGCTGGCATCTCTGGCAGTTCAGTCTCCGTAGCCTGGACTACACACAACCTGGTGTCAAGCTGAACAGTTATGCTTTCCCACAACTTTCCCACTGAGACTGACAGCTTGGTGTATGTGGATGTGTGAACTGTGCTGTAGTCATTCGCACCTATCTCATGTGTTAAATGGAAGTTGAGAACACAAAATTAGGTTGCTTTGATCTTCTTAACGCCTTCCTATTAAATTTAAATCAGCACCCAGCCACTTAAAGTAATTTCCTTTTACCAAAAATGTGGAAAACCTGTTTCAGCCGATGCCTTCATTCGGTTGAATGGATCCCACCTTGGCTCTCCCGGAGATGCGTGACGTAACCAGTGGCTCCTTTAGCCTACGTCTTTGTGCAACACAAAATGGATGCTGGAGTCATGCTCTTATCTGGGGGCTTGGGGATGTTTTTGAAGATAGGTAACAGCTTGAGAGTAACAACGTGATCTGCAATTTAGCGTCATAATTTCATCAGCAGCTTTTTTTTGACCATCTCCAAAATAGAACCACAGATCTCCTGGAGGACCTTTAGGCTGCAGAAACCACAAATAGTTTTTCCATGCATATTTCTTCGTTTCCCCTGCATAGCATTTACTGGTGGCCTCAGCAGGCGTTTGGAGGCTGTGCAGACTGTGTATGTACTGCCTGAACATGTGCGTGCCCAAAATTTCATTCACAGTTACTGTGCTGTAAGTGCAGCCTGGTCGGGGGCTTGGTCATACTTTCTGTGTTCCAGCCCCAGCTCTGAATATCTTTGGGGTAAATTTTTATTCCTTCTTTCTCTACTTTCCGGTATGTAAGATAGAGTTAAGCTCACCCAGCTCATGGGATTATTTTGAAATACCGTTCATTTTAACTTCTTTTGCTTTGGAAATATAAAATACTGTATAAAGCATGTATGGTCTTTATTTTAAAAGATTCAGGCTATATAACTGCTAATTTCTATCCTTGTTATTTTGTAGTGTGTTTATTAGTCATACAGTTGGGGTTTATGGATAGAGCCCTCTTTGAGATGAGAGAAAATTGTTTTAGTAGCAAATGGAGATGGAGATTATTTTTTTTAAATGAGGAGAAATTACTTCATAACAAAGGGATCGTCTTCACTCTAGAGCTGCTATTTGTGTCCTGAACATCCCTGCTTGAATTTTTCAGATTCAGAACAATTCTGGGAAAAGCTGGTGATTAGATCAGACGGACGAAAGGTTTCTGTTGCTGACTCTGCTGTTGATTTCTCTATCTGTAAGATGGCATTAATGATCTTTACTAATGAGCACTGATAATTTAGTGGAGCACTTTAGCAGAGACTCTGGATAGAAGTAGCTGCAGAAGCACGTAGTGAATAGTGGTGACAGGTACTTCACCGTGGCCAGGTTCTCCAGAGCAGCTCTGCTGGCTGGCTGGACTGTGGCGGCAGCATCAGTCCTGACTGAGCATCCTGGTCGCAGGCGGTCCAGTCAGCCACTCAGGCAGCTTGGCCACTGACAGCCTTGTTTCTGCCACATGCACTTACATTATTGCTGTATTGCTAACATTTATGGTGGAAGGGTTGTTGCCAAGTTGGGGGGACAAAAAATAAGTGTCCTTGAGAGAACAGCTGGTAATTAACATGTCTTTGTGTTTCAGAGATGAGCGAAATCAGTCAATCATTGTCAGTGGGGAATCTGGAGCCGGGAAGACTGTCTCTGCTAAGTATGCCATGAGGTACTTTGCCACGGTCAGTGGATCTGCCAGTGAAGCCAATGTTGAGGAGAAAGTCTTGGCCTCCAACCCCATCATGGAGGTAAGAAAGAGAGCTACTGCACTAACCCCCACCCTCCAGCTGCAGTTGTTGTTCTGGGGCTGACACAAGCATTCAATAGAAAGAGCAATCCATAGTTTTTTTAAGGATCAAAGAACCTAGAATAAATATATTTTAAAATTTTGTTTTTAATCCATTTACCAGGAGGTGCTTTAGGCATCATTTTGTGTAGTATTTATGAAAGATTGAGAAAAGACGGGAGGTAATGATTTAGTATTGTTAATGTATTTCACATAACAAAGTAATTTTTATATGAATACTGCTTTAAATCTATTCAGCTTTGTAAAACTGGTAGTTCCCAGACCACTGGCTAAATGCAGGTGCAGAAGACTGTTTTTGTGTGTAAAATTGGAAAGAGGATTAAAACTTCTGGGCTTGCCCACCAAACATGTACATCACACAGTGGGGACAGGTAGATTACACTCTGAAGTGAAGAGAGCTCTTGAGTAAAGCAAATGTTCAATTTTAGGAAATGTGATTAGGGAAGATAGACTGAGAAAGCAAAGTTACATGAGGTGCACACAGTTTCTTTCAGAGGGGAAGAACACGACAGAAGATGTAATTTTGCTATAATTAGCTCAGACTAATGTTTCAGTTCTGGAAATTTGTGTAACTAACTGTAGTCAGGTCCCAAAGCCATTGGCTTGGGAGCATGGGTGCTGGCAATAGACTGTGAGACAAGTCCAGTTCTCTCCTGCTTCAGGATCTCTGTTCTCCAGGAAGGTCAGGAGATGCTGTAATTCTGATGTGGCCAAGCAGAAAACATTTCTTGGGCTCATCTGAATTGTTTTCTGTGTCTTTGCCTTTGTGTAGATTCAAGTGGTAGCTGAAGTTAAGGAACTATGTTAAGAAATGATTCACCAGAGAGAAACAGTCTTCAAGTCCAGTTCCCTCCTGCTTCAGGATCTCTGTTCTCCAGGAAGGTCAGGAGATGCTGTAATTCTGATGTGGCCAAGCAGAAAACATTTCTTGGGCTCATCTGAATTGTTTTCTGTGTCTTTGCCTTTGTGTAGATTCAAGTGGTAGCTGAAGTTAAGGAACTATGTTAAGAAATGATTCACCAGAGAGAAACAGTCTTGGGGGAATTCCTTGAGAGAAGTAGCGCTGTGTGTAGGCACGCACATGCGCATGACTATGGACAACGTAAGAAAATGCTTAGGACAACTGATGCCTTGGTAAACGTTTAGCATCTCTGTGCAATAGTGTGAAGTATTAGTGGATAGACATAAGTAAATGGAGTGCACACAGTGAAATGTGAAATGCAAAATGCTGCCATTGTTTTCTTTCTCAGGTATTTTTAAAAATGAACTATGTTTTATTCCTTCTTTCCTCCTGGCGTGAGGAGTTCATGATACTCAGACTATAGCTGTCCCATCACAGTTGTGTGTGTTCTGTCACAAGGTAATTGTGCCTGGTTTGTGGTGCTGTGTGGTGTTTTGAAACTGTTTTGTGGGATAAAGCAAGCTGTGCCATGATGAGCACTGGCTCTGCTGTTGTGGGATCCAAATGTCCTGCTATGGGAGGAAGCCAGGGGAGCTGAGCCTTGTCTGGAGCTGCACCTACCCCAGCGGGAGCAGCCTGGGCCCTGGGGAGCAATGGCAGTTTTGCAGGTGTGAGCTAATCCCAGAGTACTCCTTTCACTGCTCCAACGTTTGCAGTAAGTGTCGTGCCATCCTTGGCCACGTTGAGATTCGGTGCGTGGCTAACAGGACCAGGGGTGCTGAACGCCCCTTCTGCTTTCCCCTGCGTACCACGGAGGTGGTACCTGGGGCCAGGCAGGCGGCCGCATCCTCACCGCCTGTCCGCTAAGTGACAGCTACGGTAAGAGACTCTGCAGGATGGGTCTGCAGTTTGCTATTTGTTTGCTGGGTGAAGTACAAACTGTCTACAGGTTTTCCTGCGCCACTTCTTTTGTTTGGTCTCAAAGCCTAAACCAAACATCCTTCTCTCTGACTCCTTGGACCCCACCTCCCTGTCAGTAGCTTGCCACTAATTGTCTGATTTAATTTACAAAGCAAGGAAATTTAAATTGAGGACTAGAAATTAACTTTCCATCCATACCTTTTTTTATCCACTAAAAAACAATGGTGGTGCTTTATTTTTATTTTCTAGGGATAACAACAATTTCGTGAACCTGCGTATATGTAAAATTTCAATTACTTTAAACATTGTTATAATTGGATGAAAGTGATCCTTTTAAGTTCAAACACTTGAACTTTAAATAAGCTTTAGAGTGAGTGTTGTGAAATCTGGTCTTGAGACAGATTGTAGGATAGCAAAATTAACGTTTCGAACTCTTCAGTTGATAAATCAGCAGAAACAAATTAATCCATGTAGATTAGGAAGAAAATGAGTAATTAATTTCAGAAACAGGAAACTCCTCATTTGCTAAGTTGATTGTAAAATCCTAGGAGCAGGTGGTCATTTTATTTTTTTAATTTCTATTTGAACAACGTAAACATCAGCATTTTATGAGCTACCATCATTAGTGTCAGAATTTCACATCATCTTTGCCTACTAAATACTCTGTAACATCAAGTGACCACTATACGTTTCTAGCAACTATTTGAATAATTAGCTTTGTAGTCAATAACTATATACAGTTTTCCTATGCAAATGTAGAAATTGTCACGTCTTAAAACACACCTTTATATGTAATTTCCTGCCTCTCATTCTTTGTTACCCTGTATAGCTACGCGAATTGTACAGCTTAGTATGTACTCTGGTAAGCCATCTTATAATACCAAAGACTTTCTTAACTGTTTTTATAAGTAATACCTTTCAAAGTAATAATTGGTTTCTGAAAATATTGTAATGTTATATTGCTACCACCAACAACAAAATATATCACAGTAGCAATAATTTTAAAACACAAGAGATGCAGTTTGAGTACGTTCAGTCTGAATGAATTCAGTATTTCTGAGAACCGCAGAGGTGCAGTTTGTTCTTACATCCTTTATAGCAGCTGTTCATCTGATACCCACTTTGACATCTGCTCGGTCAGGCGTGCGTGCTGCTGCTGCTGTGGTGGGGTTTCTGAAAGTCTAATCCCCGCTTCCCGTGCTGTACCCGGCTAGCCCTTACCGATCCACTGGCCTTTTGTTTACAGATTTGGAATACCGATACTCAGCATTGCTATTTGCTCTCATTTGTTTTTCTCAAGTTTTGTTTCAGTACAGAGTTCCTATGGATGGCTACGTGAACTAGGAAACATGGACATAGATACAGCTCTGTGTTCTTTAGTTATGGTGCACTTCAGAGTTAGGTACTTGGTAACATACACGCAGTGGCATATGATAAAAGGCAGTGTGCTGTATCCGAATTGCTCCAAATGCCATTCCTTTTGATACAGAGATATCTTTAGGGTTTTTTTGGAAGGTGAATTGCTATATGATGTCTAAACCATGATCTGATTGAGAAGAGAAAATGCTTTTCTTTGAAGTTCAGCATGTTGTGATTTGCATACCTTGAATTCTGACATATCCAGCTGCTCTCTGTTGCGGGGTGAATCCTAACGCTGATGAGGAAAGGCAGAGGTGCACCAAGACCGCTTAGGAACCACAGTCATCATTTGCCCTGGGCATCCCAAGACCGCATACTATAGAGGAAATACATATTGTTTATTGTGTTTGAAGCTGTATTGAATTAATCTAAGAAATTAGGCATGTAGGGCAGCATTGAAGACTGTTTCTGAGTCAGAAACCAAGCTGCTATGGAAGGGATTCAGTTTCAGGCAAATGACATGAGTCTGTACATGTTAATTTTTAGATTATTTTTAGGCACACAGTAAATACTTTGTAATGATACGTTTGCAGAAGTAGTTTGGAAATGTGGTTGATTATAGAGTAATAATAATAATGAACTGTTAGCCAGACAGAACATAGGGGCTGTTTGCTGGACTATGGGTTTATGATAGGGAGACTTACAGATGTTGCAAGTACTATACATATATCTGTACACATACATATATGAATATATAAAGTGTGAAATAACTGTTACAGTTTTATTAGGTCCTTAATTAGACTGTGTGGAAGTGAAATCATTGCTAGGAAGATCAGCTTCCCATCTTGTGTTAATGAAATAAGCATATTTTGATGTAACTTGCTAACCAGGCAGAGATTGTTCTTTATTAAATTCTTTATTATTTTGAAACCAGGACAAAATTAATGTTGTTAAGTGTTCATGAGCCATGTAGATGATTAAATAGATTTGATAATTTCTAAAAGCTGTTTAACCTTTACAATGTTCCCTTTTTTCAGTCTATTGGAAATGCCAAAACTACGAGGAATGACAACAGCAGTCGCTTTGGGAAATACATTGAAATTGGTTTTGATAAGAGGTATCGAATCATTGGTGCTAACATGAGAACTTACCTCTTGGAAAAATCAAGAGTGGTGTTTCAGGTAATACTGATGCAATCTTCTTATTGTATATTTGTGTGACTATGCTAAAAAAAAAAAAGCTATCACTTGCTGATATTCATTCTCTCCCCTAAGAGGTGGCTGTAATAGTGTATTTGTAATATAGCACATGTGGGGAGGGGGAAGAAAAGGAAAACCAAGTCAGCCCTTCGTTATATGAATTATTCGTAGTTGTAAAATGTGTATTAAAAAGGCTGTGTATTTAAACATGAAATACTTTCAGTGCACTACTAGATAGGAGCTTGTGCTTACCATAATATTACAGAATAGGGCTTCAAAAGCTAGCAGAAATCACTTGTGCTCAAGAAGAGCTCTCCGTTGTGGTTTGTAAAGCTGCCATCTTAGCTCACTTTCAATCTCTTGTTAAAACCCACTGCTCTCGCAGTAATTACGAATGAGTCTTAATTGCCATTATTTAGGCAAATGAGAATATGTAATTTCATCTTTCTTGAACTCTCTTCATTTTGGTATTTCATACTTGAACCGATCCACAACCTTTTTGTCTCCCACACTTCCTCTCCATCTTTGCCTACCTTATAGTCTAGAGCTCAGTAAAAATGGACTTATCCTTGACTGGCTGCCTAAAGGTATAAAACAAATAATTACAGTTTGCATTCTGTAGGGGTGTTACGTGAAGTAGTGTATATTTCAAAAATAAGAGAGACTTCTTGCACATGGTTTAGCTGGAAGAAAGTCTTTTTCTTTTTTTCCTTTTTTTTTGTTTTGAAGTTATGAAATTTAGAGCGCTTAAATTCAGAATTATGGTGTTGATCATGAGTCATAACCTTCTGAGCTGTGTTTGTCCTTCATTTTAAAATTCCAGCTTTGCCTTGGCAAGAAAGATACTCCCTTCACCAGCTTACTATTAATGCTGAGGCGAATGGTATTAGTTATTTTTGGAAAATGAAAAGCTTCTAAGTATGATCATTCCACCCACCCATAGAATCCTGATCTATATTTGATAGTAATCCACAGTTCTGAAAAGTGAAATCATACATTTTGAAAATGTCTGCATGCTTCTTGCTGTTGAAAATGGATTAAATTAATCAAGAAGGAAATGATAGATGCTGATTTATCTTTCCTTTTTCCATGTGGCTTCTGTGCTCTTAATGTAATGCTAGAGAAAGCATTAAACATAGTAATTCTTTTCTACTCATGGATGTTTCTGGCACTTGTTAAGTTGTGAAAAATAATCAATTCCTTTCTTTTTAAAGGCAGAAGAGGAGAGAAATTACCACATCTTTTACCAACTTTGTGCCTCTGCAGCATTACCTGAGTTTAAAACTCTACGATTAGGTATGAAATTCACATTCATTGTGTTGTGCAATTGTAGGTACAAAGCAGCATCTCTGAGCTTTTTGAGCCATAGAACCAAAAGAAGAATTGCTGGCTTTTAAATTCTAAACTTTTAAACCTTCAAATACTAAAATATATTGAAAATAACTAAAATGGCAGATCTCGGACTTTGTGTTTTTTAGATAAAACGAAAGTAACGGATTTGATTATTCAGCATACTCTAATACACTGCAGTTATAATCACTAGGACTTACTATGTCCTGGATTCCAGAGTAGCTTTCCAGTGACGAGGGTGAAATTCTCTTCTCTTGGTCCTTTAAAACCTTTTTTGCATGGCTCCAGCTACTAGAGAATTTTACCATTTCTGGTATAAGCACCTGAAAAGCTTATTTTGCATCTGCATGCTTTCAGTTGGGCTGTTACCAACAATTACTTTACCATCTCTGCTAACCTGGTGATCACAAAACTGATAAGTGAAATTTTTCATTTTTCAAATTAAAATGTTGATAAAGGAAAGGTTTCTCATTTAACAGGAACTGGTACTTTGTAAAAGAAAGGCATGATGATGACCTGGGGACAGGCAATCACCTCATCATTTTTAAAATTCAGTATAAATTTCAGTGCTTCTTGTTTATTTTTAAAAGTTAGCTTCATAGTGGGAAAACTGCACAGCCTGTCAGTGCTGATTTCTGAAATACCATTCTGGTTTTAAAGTGTTTCTCTGCTCTTCTGCACCATCCTGGAACATTTAGGATTCACATCTGCTGACACAGGAAAGAAAGGAACTGATGTAATTATAACTAAAGAAGGCATTAGCAGACTCCTCTTCCAGCGTTCTTGAAACCTTAGCAGATCAGAAGAAAAGGAGTCTGTTACTGCCGCTGGAAGCATGGCCACTGAAACTGTAGGAATTTACACAGTACCCAGGAGAGCTATTGCTCTCCCGGTGAAGCCCAGTGCTGTCCCCAGAGTGGTATGAAGCTATCAGTTCTCCAGCCACGACTTCTCAGCCAGAGCCGATCAGATGCTCATAAGACTAAACCAGACCATAAATTAGAAACGAGAAGAAAATGGGCAAAATTGAATTTTTTAAATACCCTGATGCAATAATAGCATAATAATATCTGCCACATAATTCCAAAGTGCTGCTGCTGTCAACTCTGCACCTACTACTTGGGTGGTTGGCTCAGACTTGGAGAATAATTGCTTCCCAAGTGATTATTCCACAGGTGTGGAAGTCTGAACCAGGGTCAGGTAGAGAATATGCTTGAGGGCCTATTGCAGGAACCAGGTAGCTTAAGAATACTTACTTGCACTGTTAAATCTTGAAAAAATTCTTCTCCAGAATAAGTGGGTCCTATGAGCCAGAAGGCAAAAATATACTGACATATTTCAAATCATGGATTCTGCCAAGAGCAACTTAATCATTACACAGCTTTACAGATGTGCTGTGAATTTCTGCATCAGTGTGTGTAAAAGATTTGTTTTTTCTCTTACAGGGAATGCAAATTATTTTCACTATACGAAGCAAGGTGGAAGCCCGGTGATTGATGGTGTCGATGATGCTAAGGAAATGGTAAACACCAGGCAGGCCTGCACTTTGCTAGGTAATTTGTAAAACACAGTCATATCCCAAATCCGATATACTAGCAAGTGTTTTCTACATTGTTTGTATATATTTTCTTCATACTCTGTTGTGTTTAAAAACAGGAGAGTTTGATAAACTTTGGGACTGAGATACTTCTATTGCATTAAGATGGTATTTAAATTGCAGTGGAATCACATACCTAGTGTAGGAGGAGCATGCATTATATGAACGTAAATGGTAGATTCCCTTGGTGTGGCATATACAGTGTTGGAGGTCACCAACAAAGCACTTTGAAACGGCAAATTAAATAGTTCATTTTAATGGATTTTTTTTGCATCTGGTTGTAAAATGTTTTTAACAGAAGTGGAGCCAAGCAGTACCGTCAAATGCCAAAGTCTCTGAAGAAAACACACGGCGGTCACCGTTTTTCTCTTCTTAATAAAATTTTTCATCAGCTGCAGCTTGTGGTTCTGTATTTCTCTCTCCATTCAAAACGTTTTATTCATCATTTTTCAGGGATTAGTGATTCCTACCAGATGGGAATTTTTCGAATCCTTGCTGGCATCCTTCACTTGGGCAACGTGGAGTTTGTATCTCGGGATTCTGACAGCTGCACTATTCCTGTGAGTAGTAGATGAGCTGAAGGGCATGATTTCTACTCTGACAGTTCTGCCTTCTGCTTGTTTGCAGGGACCTCTTCTGAAAAAGAGTAACAATATAAAAACAAGCAATGTGTTTATTTCTAATTTGTTAACATTTTCACAGTTCTCTTTGCAGATGGATTCAACTCTTCTCAGTTTAGAGGCTTTAGACAGTGCTCTCTGTATTATAACAGTGGCTGCCTTAATTTTGTTTCAAAATTGTAATTGATCTGTCCTAGAAAAGTCTACCGGACAGGCTAGCTTTGAAGTCCTGGGCAGGTGTCTAGATCTTTATATTCCTACATGAATACATTCCCTGCCCACAGTAAATGCTTTGCAGGATGGGTTTTTTTTAATGTTAAATGGCAAAATGGCCTAAATAATTGCAAAGCAAATGCTTCTCAAAGTCCTTTGGGATGTCTAGACATGAGCATAGGATATACAGATATGATTCGTGTGACTCATCTAAGTGTTGTGGTTGTATCAGTCCTTTTCTACCTTTGTGGAGGTCAGCAATGAGGACTGCGTAGTCTGATCTGAAAAAAACTTCCTCATTCAGTGAGGACCAAGGCTTCTTACTGAAGTCTGTATTCTGGAGATGAGAAATAAAACAGATCTGGCTTGTCACTCTTCTATTCCTTGGATTCACAAGTGACCAGTTTCTCCTTTTGCTTTTCCTTGAATGTCTACTGCTGGACTACACAGCCTTCATCTTTCTCTCTCTTCAAATAGTAGCGGGGGGGGGCGTGTTCTCATTTTACTATCAGTCACTTTCTCAAGAATCTGCAGTAGCAGTTTCTGGAGCTGAGACAACAGGTCCTTCATCGGGCCACAGATGATCAGTGTGCCTGGTCTGACACCATCTGTCCGTGGGATCTAATAGATAGCTGCTGTGAAACGACAGCCATAGTCTGGCTCTTTGGTGTGTATTAAAAAGGTTTTCACCACAAAGAAAGCATCATTTAATGATCACAGGTAGAAAGCTGATGAGCCCCAGGACATGATGAGCTAGCCTGTGTTGTAATGGGTATCTTCAATGCAGGAATCCCACTGAATGAGCTAGTACAAAGCTGCAAGTTCCTGTGCAATCCTATCCTGACGTGGTAAACATCTAGCAGGCAGCGGTGAATGTCTGCTCAATGGCATCCGCTACCTGAGCCGTGCTGTTCTCTGGCAATAGCCATGTCATTGCAGAGCTCTGTCGCCATGCAGACTGGTCTGCCTGGGAAGCGCTGGCGCGGTGATGCAATGGTGGTGCTTCAGGGAGCTCAGCGAAGGGCTCCGCATGGTGCTGGGTGAATGAATCAGTTTGTTTAATGACAGCTTGACTAACCCTAATGTGACACTGTTTTGTGCAGCGTTCATTATTATTATTACTACTTTATTATTGTCTTCTGACAATAACTACTTAAAGTGGTATGGCTAAACTCAAAGAAGACATGCTCAGTTAGCTGGATTTTGGAGGTGTAACAGCACTGTCATGGGACCTGTATGCTGTAAGGACTGGAAGAAGCCCCAGAGAAGTCAGAAGGATGTGGAAATAGAAAGATAAAGCTGATGTACCCTGAAGCTACTGGGCATGTAGTAACAGTCCCCTGTAATCTGTCCTCATCAAGACGCTGCTTGTCAGCGTGCTGTTGAGCCGCAGGGTGCAAAGTGAACGTGATAAGGAAGTAGTGTTAGGGGAGTTCCTTAGGAGGAAAGACCTGTCTGTCCTCCTTGATTTCTAGCTATTGGTTTGCTTGTTAGTCACAAGGTGTAGTATCTTAACTCGTTGAGTGGTAAACGCACTGCACGGATTTTTATGCAGAAATCTTACATACCCATCTAAGTGTGTAAGCCTTGCTAGTTGATTTTACACGGTTAAACAAAGGTCAATTTTTTCACTTGTACAGTCCAATTTGAGAGTTAGAGAACAGCACTTGTGTGCTCCAATCTCTTAATGTTTGTCTCCAGAATTCACTGAGAAAATACTGTGTTAAATACTGAGAGCAGAGCACTAAAGCCCTTCCACACTTCTTCCTCTTCGTTCTTGGCTTGGGCTGCGATGCCCCATTGCCCATCACTCCTGCCGTGGATGTATATGAGCAGACGAGAGCACCACTCAGGAGCTGTAGTCCATTCTGTCCCCAGCACACAGCTGATGTCCTGTCCTCTGCATTTATCTAGCTTCTTCACTCAAAACTGAGACAGTTAGTCACAAGAATTCAAAATACCAAGTCCATCCCTGCGAAGCTAGGTGATTCATTTTTGCAAAGGTTGCAGGTTCCCTGTGTGGGGCTTTTTGGTGAACACAAGTATAGTAAAATGCCTTTGGGGAAACTGTGATTCACCAATTTACTTCAGATGTGAATGTGACAAGTGGGTAGGGAACTTGTTACGTTTTGAAGGAAGAAGAGCTGAGGAAGCTGCTGTTGCTGCTAATTGTTGGATCACTGCAGGCAGGCATTTCCTCCGATTGCATGATTGCATGTGTGCTATTGGTAATACTGTTTCAAGACCTAACAAGATTGTTTTTATTAGCCCAAGCATGAACCCCTCACCATCTTCTGCGACCTCATGGGTGTGGAGTATGAAGAGATGGCCCATTGGCTTTGCCATAGGAAGCTTGCTACTGCCACCGAAACCTACATCAAGCCAATTTCTAAACTTCATGCCATCAATGCCAGAGATGCACTTGCCAAACATATCTATGCTAATCTCTTTAACTGGATTGTGGATCATGTGAACAAAGCCCTTCACGCTACTGTAAAACAGCATTCTTTCATTGGAGTGTTGGACATTTATGGGTGAGTCTTTTTGTCAGAGATAGGACATCTCTTACATAATTATCTTACTGCAAAGCATCTTTGTCTTTACCATGTAGCGCTGCGTGGATTACACAAAAACCCCCAAACCCTTAGCAGCTGCTTATTCCAGCTGAAGGAAGTAGATGTTTAGTTTTGACATGCTACCCAAGATCTCTGTCTTGACTTCCAGGTTTGACATTTATAGTGGGATTTCAGATTTTTGCTCTTGCTGGTTCCTTTATGTATTGCATTGGGGAAAGTTACAAGGGAATTGTCATCTCATGGTTCCTCCAGGGTGGCACTTGTAGAGAGGACAAAGATAACTAACATGCTCTCCAGGAACATCAGTCCCTTCCCTGCCTAAAGAGGGAGCATCACTGAATCTAGAGAGGACAAAGATAACTAACATGCTTTCCAGGAACATCAGTCCCTTCCCTGTGTTCCTCGTCCCTGCCTAAAGAGGGAGCATCACTGAATTGCCCATGTACTGCAATTTGCCATTTCCCTGTGTGCTTTGTTGCTTGATTGTGGTTGTTTGTACCTGGAATAATGGAATTAGTTTGACTGGAGGGAGGGAATTTAAAATTATGGGGTCATTTAATCTGTTTTTTTTTCATTGCACTAGTAATTTTTAGTATCTGCATATTTTAGATTTGAGACATTCGAAATCAACAGCTTTGAACAGTTCTGTATCAACTATGCCAACGAAAAACTGCAGCAGCAGTTCAATATGGTAAGTAGGAAGTGACTGGCATTTCCTCTTCCCTTTCCCCTCACCCAAGTCCATTCTGCTAATTGGGTCCCCAGTGGTTATGATGAATTCCTTCAGTCTATTAACCAGCTGTCCTGGCCGTGGGCTTTGGGGGATGGGGAAAGATCGACTATCTCCTAGAAATAGATTTTATGACTAACTGCTGCTCTGGGACTATTTGAAATTCCAATCACAGTAACATTTATAAGACAGAAGCAGTGCTTGGCAATTAAGACCCTGAGATTGCCTGTCAACGAGAGCACCGTGTGGATGAAGTTGGAGTTAGCTGTGTCTCCGTAACCTCCAACGAGAGCCTGTGCATGGGCAGCAGAGAGCGGGGCTTTGCTGCTGGAAATCTGCCACCCGCACTTCCTCTCCTGGCATTATTTTTTGAGGGTTTTCAGCCGCATCCTGAAGTTGATGACTGACGTGTGGCAAGAGGCACCTCTTCCCCCTCCTCCAGAGAGATCACGATTCTCTCTCTCCTCAGCCCTAGTGACGTTTGTAATTATATATTTTACCTGTATGACGATGAGGCCAGTTATTTATGCCAGGTCTGTTGCTAGGCTGTGCTGCAGTACAGGAATAGCTTTGAACTCTCTTTATGAACGTACCTCCGTGGCGGTGCGTGCTCGCAGGACTGGATCCCCCCATGCCGTCGTTCATCCCAGCGGCAGGGATGCGCGTCGGGGAGTAAGCCGGGTGCTGGAGCGGAGGCTGGGCTTTCCAGCCCCGGCGCGCCCTTTCTGTGCTGGTAGTGTCACGGCTGGCTTCAGCTCCATAAGCGGGATGTCATAACTGCTAAGCACAAGGTATCTCGGAGTTTTCTCAGCTCTACAGCAAAAATCTAGTCACTGTAAGAATTGTAAGGGTTTGCTTCTTTACTAAAGATCACCGTCCCCGTGTTCCCTTCCCTCTCACGCTGTTGCCACAAACACTCATCTCGTGAAGGACGGGGTGACGGGGCTTTTGTGTTGATGCCCTGCCAAGCTACCAAACCCAGCGCCAGTGGACACAGACCCATTGGGCTGCCATGCAGATACACGGGGTGGAAGCTGTTTTAAATTAAAGCCCTATGTCTGTGCCCAGCGCCAGGACACAGACCCATTGGGCTGCCATGCAGATACACGGGGTGGAAGCTGTTTTAAATTAAAAACCTATGTCTCTGGTGGCCCGAGCCCAGCTGAGGGCAGGCCGCTCGGGGACTGCCCGGCCACCACTCGCACCTCCACAGCCTGCCCAGCCTCCCTGGCCACCCTTCCCCGCCTGGCCACCCACAGCCCGTAAGGAAAATTAGGTCTGAAGACATTTTTCACCACATAATTGCTAATTCCTTTACGGTGGAGAAATGGTTTTATGTTTTCTTTCAGGACTTAGGTTGGATATGACTCGCCAATAAAACGCTACCATTGGCTTTTCTGTCAGGAATTAACTCGGCGCGTAACGCAGCCGTTAAGCGGCGGGGTGGGAATGGCTCCCACGGGCACCGTTAAGGAGCGCTGCTTTGGAAAGGATGGCGTTAAGCTAACGAAATAAAAGGGATAAAGCGCTTTGTCAGGGTAGTTTTCTGCTGTCTGGCAGGTGCGTGCCAGAGAGCTGTGAGGCGTCTGTGGGCCTGTGCACTGAGCTCAGGGGGCAGCTGAGGCCGGCTCCACGGATACAGGCCTTTGTGGCGGCCCCCCGAACCCTGCCCACGGCGCTGCTCTTTGCTGCTTGTTCAGGTGTGCTCCGAGTTCAGTTCTGCCTGCCAGAGCAGTTAGTATGCATTAAAATTTAAATGGGAGGTAAAACGTCATTTAAAATAACTGGAGTCAGCAGTCTTTTTGTTTTTAAAAAGAGTGCTTGTGCTATTAAGACCACAGTTTGCCTGTTTAATATCTTACTATCTTTTTTCCCCTGAAGTTTTAATTCATCTCCTATGCAGATTTCATTAAAGCTGTGCAGCTTTTTTTGTGATAATATTTTTGAATAAATATACAACTACATTGTTATTGATCTTCGTACCAGGTAAATCTTCCACAAAATTTTGCTTAAAGGATTTCTTGTGCTAATACTGCTAGAGTCATTCTCGCGGGTTTTTGCTGAAGAGTATATTTTAATGCAATGCGTCATCTTAGAAAAAAATCAGCAGCCATTTAAGAGAAAATGGAGCTCTGTTCTTTTACAAGGAAACGCAGAAGTATTTATAGTGAAATTTTACTTGAAATAGAGCAGTATTCGTAACTTCAAAATCATAAATGCATGGCATATCCCACTTTGTAAGTTGCTGTTCCTTCACTTGAGGCTTTTTCTGGGTTTTGTGTTCGTTTTTTTATAAAAGAGCTTGTAGTAATTGTGGGACAATATAGTAAAAAGATAGGAAAAAATAGACCTTATTTGCAGAGAATATGGATGAGTGCTTTAATTTAGTCTGTTGTTTTTAGGCCAGGAAAAAAGGTTAATTTATTTTTCGTACACTTACTTGTTAAAGGGTTTATTCAGTTGAACTAGTGTGTCACTTGACAGCCTGGATTAATGTGCCAAGATGAATTCAAGTGAGAGTTCGATGTATTTATTCTCCATTCTATTTCACAGAAAACTGTTTTCTTTTTGCCCTGTAGCATGTCTTTAAGCTGGAACAAGAAGAATATATGAAGGAACAAATACCATGGACCTTGATTGATTTCTACGACAATCAGCCTTGCATCAACCTCATAGAGGCCAAAATGGGAATTCTGGATCTGTTGGATGAGGAGTGCAAGGTGTGTGTTCAAGGGCTTTCATAGAGAAAGAGGTCATCAGCCGTCCTGCTTCTGAGGCCTCACAGGGGAAAGTCATCTGCATATAGCCATCATTTTGACACTCTGCTGCTGAAAGGATTTGGAGAACGTACAAACAGAATTGGCAATTACAGGAGGAGAAAAAATGGTTTTAGTCATGCTTTTTTTCCCTCCTCTCCATCACGTGTCTGTATCTGTTTCTGGGTCTCTGATCAACCTCTGTTTTGACTCTGGCAACTTTCTCTTTCCCGAGTGTAGCAAGTGCAGTCTTTGGTCCTGCCAGATTTCTCCAAATTGCCTCTCGCTTAGTGTCTCACCTTTTGTCTTGTATCTTAGTTTAATTTATGCCAAGCCATGTATAGGGGATGGCGTGTGGTGTCCACTTCAGTGGAAATCCAGCTTGGGGTTCTTGTGTATCACAAAGCCTCACAAGCAATCTCTAGTAGTGGTGGATGAGTTCTGACCCGCTGAGATGCTGCTCAGTCAGATAACGTACCTCCTGGATCCCCGCCTTCAGGTGTGTGACACTGGAAGCGTTATTAGCGTCATATGTGTCACATAGCAGCTACACCTGCTGCTGGCCTGCGCCCAGTCCAGAGTATTAGAAAGGCAAGTGCATAGCTTGTTACCGGCTTCCTTGCTTATGGCAGTGCTGGAAATCCGGGGAGTTTGAGTTTGAAAGCAAACCACAAAGTGTTGGCCCCTGTCGTCTTAGTTTCTTTTGCTACTGAAAAGTTTTCAAGACATTTTAAATGGCTGTGTGTTCTCTTCCATAGATGCCAAAAGGCTCGGATGACACTTGGGCCCAAAAACTATACAATACCCATTTGAATAAATGTGCCCTCTTTGAAAAACCACGCTTGTCTAATAAAGCTTTTATCATCAAGCACTTTGCTGACAAGGTAAGGACTTTTCCTCCGGTACCTCTTTCCGTGGCTGGTGTTGCTGAGCCTGTGCGTGGGAGGGGATCCTGGGGTGGGCGGCTGTTGCAGGCAGCGATTCGGCAGCGGCATCCCTGGCTTTACTTGGCTTCTTGCAAAATGCGTGCCTGCCACATCAGGATCAGGAGATCAGGAGAAGAAAGTTGACCTGGCAGCTGCGTGGAGCCAGGAACACAAACAAGAGCTCCTGACTCCTGTCACATGCTGTAACCACTAACCATCCTTTTTCAAAACATGACAGCTCAGTGTATTTGCAATTCACAGCATAATTGTATCAATTCCAGTTATGCTCTAGAAATACACAAAATAGAAAATCATATATTTCACTGTAGTTTTAGCTCAAGAGCAACAACAAAACAGTGTTGGTTTTGCTGCCATCTTAACGTGCAAACAGGAAGGACTAACAAACCCTTCTTCTTATCGCTGGAGCAGCACGTACTGTTCCCACCCTCACCTCTGCTGGCCAGTGAACAGCTATTTCTAGGAAGCTGGACGAGGGGTATCTCAGTGGAGTGCATGCGTTGTTCAGCTCCCACAATGCATCATCGAACTGAGCAACTCCTCAGGTTAAAATAAAATAAAAAATTTAAAAATCCTGTTTAAGATAATTGTCCTGTTAAACAAAGAAGCTGCCTCAGAATATTGTCAGCTTTGTCGAAAAAAGTTTGGAGAAGCTCTGGGATTCTTATCAGTAGGTCTGTACATGTTGACATGGGGGGTTGGAGGCCTTTATTTGCCTCCACTTGATTTCTCCCAGGTTCTTGAATTTAGGCATAGAAGGGGGGTCCTGTTCTTGTTGCATCTAGTGTTACCTGAATGAAAGCAGCAAGAGCATCTCTGTAACTGTTTAGATTCATGAGTTCTGTTTTATTTGGTGGATGAGAGAACAAGAAGCGTTTAATTAATATTTCTTATACTGTTCATTAGGCTAAACTTTGCTATTTGAAAATCAGGCTTTCCTAGGCCTAGTCTGAGCAGTGAGGGCCAAGGAAAGCTAAAGTAGCTCCAAGCAGGTATTGGCAAAGCTCTAAGCTCTGATGCGCTGGTCTGTGCTAAGCATTTCATGCTTTCCTGTGTGCTTACGTGAATGCATACAGACATCTTGAAGGAAAAAATAAAGCTGTAGCTGGCAGGTTAGTAACCTCTGTGCCTTGATGTCTTCTCTGGGAGAAGGCAGAGATTCTGCTGCCCTCTCGTGGCATTGTCTCCCGCAGTAAGAACATTAATGGTACCCGAGGTAATGTTCAGAGTGGGCTTTCAGCCGGGGAGAGACCTTGGGGAGATCCTCTGCCTTCGTCCCCCCTAGGAATTTTTTTGAAATGTTTTGCGGCTCGGGGTATAGTGTCGTTGTGGAAGCACCGATAAATGGCTGTACTGAAAGAGGGGCCGCTGATGGCTATCAATCTGCCTGCGCTGAAAGAATAAAATTGCTATAAGGGTCTGCTCCTGTATTTTATAGTCTGCACTCCTGCTGATACAAGATTGAACAGTTAGCGTGAGACACTTCATGAGAGTTAGCATACTTAACGTTAATTAATATCGAATTCTAAGATATAGACTTTTGACAATAGTTTTTGGTTTTTGTTTAGCCTTGAATTAGGACAGTGAAATAAATACTAGGTTTTTATCTGACACTCTGGCTGTTCTTTGGTCCAGGAGACTCCACAGCCCTCTGCTAGAGGATCGTCATGTATTGTCACAACATTCAGACTTTTTATTGCTTCTGGTAAAAATAGTCTTTCTGGGTACAAATGAGGCATTTTCATAATAAGCTGCAGGCAGATCTACTTATTGCCTCTCAGCTAATGAGACGAGATGAGGTACTTTGTTTTCAGTTGCATCTGGATTTCACAGAATTTTGCAGCCCTGCTAACTTCAGCGGAGGAGATGCTCAACACACATTTTGATTCTTCACCTTTATGGCAACCATTCAATCGTGCTGTCCTACCACAAGCGTCTCTCAGCAGTGAAATATGTCTGGTATAATACAATAACAGTATTCATCTCTATACATTTTAATGTTTTACGTTTTACTGAAAAGCACTCTCTTTGAGGAAAATCTATATTTAACAAAGATGCACTTGGAAGCTGATATTTTCAACATCCACAAGAATTATCTGTTTTAAATGTGAATGTTACAGCTGGTGAATTCTATGCAAAATATTCTTATTAAATACTTTTAATACTTACTTTTTTGTAAAATGTTGGTTTTCAGGTGGAATATCAATGTGAAGGCTTTTTGGAAAAGAATAAAGACACAGTTTATGAAGAACAAATTAAGGTCCTAAAATCAAGTAAGGTTAGTATAAGGATTTTTTTTTCTTCTTTTGCAGTTATGAATCCTTGAATTAAGGGTCATATAAAATTTCTTATAAACCTTAAAAATAGTTCTCCCTTAGTATCAGATCAACTGAAATCGAACGTAGTTTGTGTTTTACTTGTATATCTGTATGAATTTAGAAAGTCCTGTAGCCTAATTTTGCTCCATGTAAGATCAGTCTGTATTTAGCCACTGATTTCACCGTTGGGTGTTTTGGGGTTTTTTTTTGTTTGTTTTTTTTACTTTTCACAAAACTTCACTATGTTTTCTGTAAAGGCATCAAGGACTTCTAATATACTATAGTAGTATAAGAAGGCTTAACAGTTAAGCCCTTAATTTTGTAATCTGAAAACAGAAGCTCCTTGTTTATGGCCTGACAATTGAGCAGAAAATTTCTGGAGGAGAGACAAGTTCTGTTCCAGAAGCAAAATGAGAGAGGAATGAAATGTATAGACCCTAAGGACACGAACCAGAATTTACGGAGTCTTGCCTTCTTGATATCTATGAAAGAAAGATAATGTCTGAATTGAAAAATACCGCGTGAAGGAATCTTATAGAACAGGCCTTCAGTGGCATCATCTGCTTTTTTAATGGCAAAAATGCTAGTTGTGCTCTTCTGAAACATAAAGGCAATTAACTTGATGTTGCGCTGTGATGGCTGTTGGGAATTTGCTAGCTCTAATGGCCCAGGAAGCTGGGTATCAAGGACAGGCTATTTAAAATTTATGCTATTCTATCAGGGAAACCAAGATTTTTCTCTTCTGTTTCTATTCTGAGCAGATATATGAAGCTAAATGATTTAACATGTAGCATAATGAAAACCCACAGCAGACCTTCTACTGAGGGAAGTGTTGAAGTGGTTTGAGCGAAGTCGATTGCTGTGCCTGTGGGAGGCAGGCGGCATCCTCGGGGAGCTGGCAGGGACCAGCCGCCAGCGTAGCTCCAGCTCTGCCACGGCATGGCAGTGCGCTGTGCAGGGCGGAGGTGCAGGGGTGCTCCGAGGGATTAGTCCAGTGAGTAAGGGACGATGGGGACATACCTGCCATAAGAGCATATGACAACAGCTCGGGCTGGCTCAGTAGGTTGAGTCAATTCAGTCTAAACACTAAGAAACAACAATGGTTTTCCCCAGTGGTAAATTTTACCAGAGCCAGTGTTTAAAAAAACCCTAAAATTCAACTGTGAAGAAAATAGATTTTCAAAGGAAGAATGTTTCATTTTTATTTTTCAGCTGGCCCTCTTTATTAGTAATTGTAGTGGGATTGCATTTCTCTTCTTTTTTTTTTTTTTGTTGTCGCTGTCTTCTGGGTTTGCTGTGCACATTCAACAGAAGGTAATTCTAAATTGAATGCATCATCTGTCATCCTGCCCGTGCCCACTCTCACATACAGCTCGAATGCTTCTTTGCTCTCCAGAGTGCATGACACACACTGCTCTTGGCAAGCACTGTAGTGTTTAGCTATTTATTTTGGCCTTCTCTACAAATCCACCCACAGGACCTCTTTGAACTAGTTAAGTTTCCATGCATGTATCATGAAAGCAGTACAACAGTCCTCAGCTTTTACGCTTGCTACTGGCATGTTGTTAAAATCTTCTGTTGTGGCTCTGTATTGAAAGAAATGATCTGTAAGATTGTTAGCAGCATGTCTGTTAGGTCGTCTGAAAAAATTACAGGGAAAAAATGCTTGCTTGCTTGTTTTCTACCACGTGAATTATCTGCCCTTTGATCAGTGTTTTCCCTCTCTTTGAACACTCCTAGTGTTCTGCGAAACAAAGAAAATTGATAAGATGCTAAAACCCAAAACCGAATGAAAACATGAATGCCCCCACAGTGTGGATCATCTCAGCAATGCTCTCCTGTTGTTGACTTCTGCTGCAGAAGGCCATAGATTGCTCCTTTCTTCTGCATGCAGTAACTGAGGCAGTGTCTATGAAAATGGCGCCTTTGAAATGCACTTGCCCATTTTTGCAGGCAGATTTTCCCAGGGTTGGAAAAAGGGAATGAGACTTATGTACTGATAGCTTAGAAGAGCTCATCCATCTGCAATCCAGACACTGGGGACCCCCTTCCCACCCCTGGTGTGTGAGAGCATCAGGAGTTTCAGACAAAGCATATTGCATTCAAATAAGCTTCTGTATGGGATGAAAAGACTTGGCTCTGTAGCTCAGATGCCTGTGCCTACCGACTCACTCCATCTGACCGCGAGCAGCTGAATGAGGTGGTGGTGGCCTAATCATCCTGAACTCTTTGCTGAGTCAGTGGAAGGAGACGGGCTAAATCATCCTCTGGAAATGTCATTCTTCCACCAGCTACAGAGGTAATCTAAGCTGATTGTGCTCCTAATCCATCAGACTCAGGTGAGATAAAGCTAAGCTGTGATACTCCTTTTTTAGTTCAGGAATTCAGGATACCTTTGTAGCATTCATAGTCATTATATTATGCTGGAGTGCTGTGCTGGATGCTACTGAGGAACGTTTGATGCCTTCTGCTAGCCCATCTGGCACAACCACAGAGCACAAGTACCATTTTGTTGCGCAGCATGTTTCATTGGATATCGTGCATGCTCACCAAGTTTTATAAGGCAAAACCAATTTTTTTATTTTTTAGGTTGTACTTAGCCCAAGCACTTTCTAGTACTGAAAATTGAATGCTCCTATCTCTTGGGAGAAAATGCACAGATGCTAGATAAAAGATTATTCATTGACAGGTAGAGAAGTTCAGATTTTCTTACTCTTATAATGCTTCTGAAGTGCTATAGTTGTCAGTAGAAAGACCTAGTGGTGTTATTTTTAGTTATAAGTTACTTCAAAGCAGCTATTATATATGGGTGTATTTTGTAGCTATTAGAGAAAGGGAACCGGAAGCCCTGTGTGATATTTGGGAAGATGTTTCAGGTTTTTCCTCTGCTCCCCCTGGCCTGAGAGTAGATCTTCAGTCAGATAAATTTGGCTAATGGGTTTTTTTAGTTGATAGTTTCTCTTTTAAGTTGATTATTTCAATTTAGAGTGATAAAGCAGGAATATTCTTTGTTGCCTGCTGGGTTATTCAGCGTCCCAGATATTTCTCAACCACAAAGGAGTCTGATGCACCACTGGAATATGAGAGGACCCTGTTGTTTCCTTCTTAGATCAAAGCAGCCATACATAATTGCAATTGGTACTTACGAAACTGCTGTCAGTATGTAGCAGTTTCACATGGAAACTATTGCTGGCTCTATGGAAAAAACCTCAAATCAGAATTTTATCTTCAGAAGGAGACTCACTGATCAAACCCACAAAATTTTTAGTATTAAATCATGGCCTACTCACTGTACTACTAGCTTGAATGCTTTTTTGCATTTGTCCCCGTGTGGAGTTCAACAAAAACCCAGTGCTTACAAAAACTGAGCCTGGATTCTAACTATCTTAAGCACAAACGGGTGCAATCACTTGCTGGATTCTTACCCTCTGTATTTTTTCTGCTGTTATACCAGTTTAAGCTGCTACCAGAGTTATTCCAGGATGAGGAGAAGGTCCTCAGTCCCACGTCAGCAACCCCTTCAGGGCGCGTGCCTTTGTCTCGAACGGCTGTAAAACCAGCCAAGGTCAGGCCAGGTCAAGCCAGCAAGGAGCATAAGAAAACTGTGGGACATCAGGTGAGTTTGAAGATGCAGCTCTATTAAATAATCTCTCCCTCTACCTCCCTCTGTCTCACAGCTCTCAAGGTGTGCTGGCGCTTCTTGGGATCCCGTGTGATTTTGAGGCAGGTGCAGCTGATTATGACTTACAGTTTGGAGCAAATATACCCTAATGACTAATACCTTCTGGGCCACAGTTTCAGGGAGCTCAGTTCTTATTGTGGGGCCAAAACCAAAACTCACGTTTTTCAAAATAGATTTAACATGCTGGATGCTGAGAAGCTTTGAAAAATCTTATACTGGGTCTTTTTGGTCATGTGCCACATTGTCTGACTCAACTCAAAAGTGGGAGTTCAGTCCCCAGAAAACTTGGTTCTGGTTATCAATGGGCTAAACATAACACATCCACGTGTATGTGCCAGAATTAAATTAAAAGTATGCAGATCAGTATGGCTGGAGAACTCACTTCTTTGTTACTTTTCACTCAACAGATTTAACAGGTGTTTTCTCAAGATGGTTATGTCCACAGTCAGTGCTTTATATATGACAGATTGTCCCTCAGACTATACAGAGGAGCCAAGGGGAACTTTTTTGGCAGTTTAGTACTCAGTTTTTATCTACTTGCCAGCCTGTACCACTTTGCTAGCGAGTAGTGGCATTCTTCTTTTGCCTGGGGCTTCCAGGAGGTCTGTGTGGATAACTCTTTTTATGTTACTGTAGGACAGCCTGGAATATAAATTAGCTCTCAAGGAGCGTAAGTTCTTTGTATCAGGGTCCCCTGCCAGTTCTTGAAGATGAACCAGCCACATCTCTCGGGTGCTCAGAGTTCTGATAAAATCACCAAAAATGCCTGGGCTTTGTCCACTGCCTTGGATGGTTGTCGATCCCCTAACAAAGATGTTAGCACAGTGTCTGTGCAGTGTCACGAGCTAGTCACACTGCTAAGTGAGAATCAAGGAATTCAGAGAATGTTTGATTTGGATATTCATAATTTCTCTATAACCTTTCCCAAGCAAGCTATGTCAAGCTATGGGTGGGAATAGGAGTGGTTATATGCTACTGTACAGAATGCAAATCTGCTTGGCATGTGTTCGTGGTACAGGCTGCAAATTCCGATCTTCTGCAATTCATGCAAGAGAACCCCTGCCCAGTTATCTTTTTAATTTGAACTTCATTTCTGATTTTGCAAACAGACAGCATCCTGAGGCTGGTAGAGGCCTAACAGTTTTGTTGTCAGACTGAAACTGTGAGTTGAAGTGTTAGGGGTACTCTCATACTACTACTATCAATCAATCATGTATATTAATTTATAAATTTTAAAGAAAGCTAATACAAAAGTGATTTTTGTTGTATTCTGTGTAGAAATAGAGGTTGGCTTAGGATTATGAGTTCAACAGAAAGAGAGAAATCCATACCAATACATTTAAAACATCTAAGGTGTGTTTTCATAGTTTTCTTTATCTATTAGGGTATTCTGTGGTTAGAAGAACATACTGCAGTATGTTAAGTATTTGTGGTCCTGATACTTTTTAAAAGTAAAGCTCCTAAAACTCTCGGATATTGGACTTTCAAAGTTCTCTTCAGTATGTCTGACATTTGGATCAGTGGAGCTGAGGAAATTGATACTTTTTTTTTTACCACTCTGTTGATTTTGTATTTTATTTAAAATTTATTTAAAATTAAATGGCTATTTAGTAATATGCCATGAGGTTCAGTCATGAAGACATGGATTAGACAAAGATTAGGGTAGATGAGATAGTCAAAAGCTGAAAATAACTCGAGTCTATCCCATGTTTTTGTAATTTATCACAGGCTGATATGGGAGCTTTACTCCTGTAAAGCCTAACATTTAGAAGTATCAGTGTAACATAATTCACTCAAAGATGTATCACATGTGTCTGAAACTAAAATCTGTTGCCATAACAAAAACAAGCTGGTGTTTATTACCGAAAGCATTATTACAAATAAGCAGATATCCCTAGGTCCGCTTCCTGAGGTTATCTCAAACATGACTGAGCTTACTGAGGCTATTCCCTGATATTTTTCCCTTTTTCTTTTTCAAAAAGTTTCGAAACTCTCTTCATCTGCTGATGGAAACCCTGAATGCTACAACTCCACACTACGTGCGCTGTATTAAGCCTAACGACTTCAAGTTTCCGTTCACGTAAGCTGGTTCATGTATGGTTCGTATAGCCTGTGCATGGGAGGGAATTGCCCAAGGCCTCGGAGGATCGAGGTTCTGCTAAACCTTGCTCACTCAGGAGTGAAGTGGTGTGTCTCCTTTCTCTTGTTATGGACCCATTGTGCGTGTGTACGTGTACTTACAGCAGGAGGTGTTTTGGGATGAACAGAGGGAGAAATACTTCCTGATGCTTTTTCTTGTTTCTGGCGATATATGAGAAAAAATACCGGCATTTTCGTTGCTAGCTGTTTTAAATGTGACTGGCAGTTTGCACTCCTTGAGTTCATTTGGCATTTGCTGGAATTTGCTTTTGCAGATTCCAACGTCTTATTCCTTATCTTTTTTTCATATATGAACTTGCTTAGAGTTTTTCTCAAAAGTCTGCTTAAAATCTGGGCACACAAAGACTGCCATGGCTATTGGGCAGGCCAGCGGGAAGCAGGACAGGATGAGCAGCTTGCAGCAGCCGATGGGCTCGAGCAGTTCCCCAGTCAGGCTGTCCTCTGTTATCGCTGAGTTGCAGAAACACTAGCTGGATTTGTTAACCACCCATCACATCCCACCCCTGCTCCCCCTCCATGCCACTCCTGTCCTGGGTGTGCACAGGGCCAGAGGTCCCACGTAATGCAAAACTAGCTCCACACCCACAGGCTCTTTTTATTCCTATGTAGATTTGATGAAAAGCGGGCAGTGCAGCAGCTGAGAGCTTGTGGTGTCCTGGAGACCATCCGAATCAGTGCAGCTGGCTTCCCCTCCAGGTCTGTTTGCCGCTTTTTAGATTGCTTTTAGCTGCAGTTCTTCTTTTTAAGAGAATTACTCATTTTTGGGACTGACACTGTCTATTTTTGGGACAGGTGGACGTACCAAGAGTTCTTCAGCCGCTACCGTGTTCTGATGAAGCAGAGAGATGTTCTTAGTGACCGAAAGCAGACGTGTAAAAATGTCCTGGAGAAGCTGATTCTGGTACTAGACTTAGTGCTGAGAGCATTTGGAATCTGAAGGAGTAAAGATAGCGTCCCTTACTCCCTCATAGCCACACTATTTTAGTACTTCTACAAAGTACTAAACCACCGGTATTAGCACAGGAACTGTAGAATTTCCCAGTGTATCACAGGAAAGGAAGACAGTGATTTTAAGTGTGGGTGGGTTGAGGGTGAGCCTTACCTTGCTTAACGGCAAGATGCATTAACCACACCTTAAGTAAGGCATAGTTATCTGGAGGTTTTCTAATGTGGAGGTGTTTCCGTCTGTGTGTGTGCTTGTGTCTTTCACACTGCTCCTCTCAGCTCCTGTGCTGAAGTCAACCTTTTTCACTCCTTTCGTCCTCATGACATTGTTTCCCTGCTTAGCACTGTGGCTGTCCTCGTACCTCGGCAGCCTCTTGCTTTGCCTCCTACCTCCAGCTGCAGCCCTGCGTTCCCAGGCTATGCCATCCACACCACTGGCGTTGCACCTGAACTGATGTGTTTCTTGTGGTTTCTTAAGGACCGATGAACAGCGGAGGGCAGGCAGGCTCCAAAGAGACGGTTCCAGCCAGTTCTCAGTAGACGGTGGTTAATTGAGACTTACTTAGAAAGAGAAAGAGACAAAGTTTACTGAAGATATAAAACCAAGAAAGCTTACCTTGCTGAAGTGCAATGCCAATGTTAGGATGTTTATGGAAACAAAAAAATAAATACTGTGCAGGCAGGTTGGGGCTCGGCTTTTTAAATTCTGTGTCATTGGGTGGACTTAACTAAAATCTTTTGGTTTATATGCATGTGTCTGTATTTATAGTGTTAATGTATAGTGTTAAATGTATCCTAAGCTGTAGCTTTTTGACTGCTGTTCCTTTTAACTTAACATCAAACAATCAACAAAATTGATTTTTTTCAATGTCCCTTTGTATATTCTCAGTTTTTCCCTCCAAGGAGTACTACAGCCTATAGAGACAGAATATTATTCTCTTTCTGGTTTAGTTCTGAAATTTCAGATGTGTTTGAGCCAGCAGCGAGATGCTTTGTCCTGGCTTAGTCCTGATGCAGCAAATGACGCGTACACGTTTGAAGCCCCAGCTGTTTTGTTTGTACTGTGTAATGTGGTTGAAGATGGACCGTTCAGAGGGGTCATCTGCAATTTAAGCAGGAAATCGTACATATGCATTGTCTGTATTGCTTTCATCCTCTGGTCCCCTTTGTCACCTCCTGTAGCCTTCCATGTCTTTCATAATCTTTGTGGCATTCTTGTCTAAGCAAAAATCTCATGTTACTCCTTTAGGCCATGCTTGTGGCCGTATTGTATTAATTTGTTAACAGAATCATACAGAGAAAATACTCTCCTCCACTACTTAATTTAAGTCTAGGTTTACTTGAAATATTACACAGAAAATTTTGCCTCTTTACTAATTGTACTTTCATTTAGCCCTTCATGCCTTTTTTTTTAATCCACTATCATTTAATGGTGTAACTGATCCTCTTTTTACCTCTGAAAATAGGACAAGGATAAGTACCAGTTTGGTAAGACAAAAATATTTTTCCGGGCTGGTCAAGTAGCCTATCTGGAAAAAATAAGGGCAGATAAGTTGAGAGCTGCCTGTATCCGCATCCAAAAGACGATCCGAGGCTGGCTGATGCGAAAGAAGTACGTGCGTATGAGGAAGGCTGCCATCACCATTCAGAGATATGTCAGAGGGTACCAAGCACGATGGTAAGCAATGCTCGTGGGAAAACCCACACTAGCCTCAATTCAGATCCCTTTAAGTAGGACATTTAAATGTGATACGTTTGTTCTCTCCTTCCTATACTGGCTGAGAGGAAATGATTTTCCAGGGAAATGAAGGAAATTGAATATCATGAGTGTGTCTGTCCTGCCTGTTTTTGACCTTCCTGAGAGGGCAGTAGCACCCTGGCTGTATGATGCTTAGAACAGTATGTCGTTAGTGGGAGAAGAGTACAAGTAGTACTAGGAGACATGTTGCAGGTGAGGTAAAGCAGGAGTCTTGGCTGAGTCCTTACTGCCCAGTTTCTATGTGCCCTCCCAGCTGGGTCTGTCTGTCCTGCTGGAGAAGCTATTCCTCATCCAAGGTGCAGCTGTGAAGGGAGATACATCAGTCAGAGTCATTTGTTTGGATTGACTTCTGAGGGATGGCCATGGATGGGCCAGAGAAAAGGGTAGGAGTACAGGTGGTATCATTCAAAGACAAGGTGGTCATGAAGACTAAGAATCAACCTTCAGAAAGATTCTTTGTCATGTCAAGATGCTTTGTAATTGTCTTGCTGAGAGGGCCAAGAACAAGCAAACATTTTCTACAGGTTGAGGTTAGGAGAGGAGATCTGGAAGGTGGCATAGTGGAAATAGCTTTAAAGCTGGAGAAAAGGTGATGAGAAATTAATCTGAGTTTATCTTGTCAGTTCTATAGCACAGTTCTCAGAGGAAGTGAAAATACTTCCTCGTAAAACCTTGCAAGGTTTCTGTTAATTTGTCATTTGTTGTTCTGTTGCCATACGGTAGATTAGCAAGTAAATATGCTGTATCGCTGACAACATTAGGAAGAAACTGAAGTAGAAAATGTAGCTCTTGAGAAAGAGGGTAGAGTTATAGGATGTAAAAAAGATAGTATTCAAGCACTGGAAAATAATTACAGGTATTATTTGTAATCTTTTTCTCATTTAGCTATGCCAAGTTCCTGCGGAGAACACGGGCTGCCATCACTATTCAGAAGTTCCAGCGCATGTATGTGGTCCGCAAAAGATACCAATGCATGCGAGCTGCTACTCTTGCTCTTCAGGCTCTCTTAAGAGGTTACATGGCCAGAAACAAGTACCAAATGGTAAGAAATCATGATGTTTTACTTCTTCACTCTAGCTTTATTTCCACATACCTTCAGGACGAAGCTGCTCTGTGGTGTCCCCTTGGGAATCTGAAATGTTTACGTGCATGCTGTTACACATAATGCACAAACAAAATATCACAGCATGGGTTGAAGGACAGCACCTGGAAATTAGAAAGATGTGATACTGCAATCAATGAACTTGTCATTTTAGAGATATTCACAGTGTCATCTAATACGGATGTACCTAGACTTTCCGTGCAGTCAGTGAAGAATCTAACAGGGATTTACAGCATTTCTCTTGAGAAAACTTTTTCTTTTGTTATACAGAATGTCGAGGCACTTAAAAGAAATACTGAAAATGGCCTTGTGTGAATGTGCCTCTGTGAGTCCAAATCAGTATTGCTCACATCAATATACGTATGTGATGCACTATTCCTATTCCATCCCTAATTTCAGTGGTATACGTATGTGATGCACTACTATTCCTATTCCATCCCTAATTTCAGTGATTCTGAAATGGCTGGTGGAATATACTGAAGGAGATTAATGTTAGCAAAGAGATACCCACAAAAATAGGAGATTAAAACTTAAGCATGGGTTGATGTTGGTTTTGTTTTGGAGAGAAATTGATATAAACCTGTCCTAGTGATATTGATAATATTTTCCTGATTACGCCTGATAAAAAATAAAAATTCAATTGAGAAATTAGAATTTTCTCTTCAGTGGTTACAGGGCTGGAAACAGAATTACGATTCAAATGGTCAGACTACAAAATGCCAACATGTTTCATGGCACTTTTGTCTACATGAATTGTTTTAACTACACTCAAAGGTCAGCCTATATTTCACTGAAAAGTTAGCTGAAAGAGTTCTATTTTTTTCCCAAGCAGGTAGATATTGAAGGCATATAACCAAAAGCCAACTAATGCCTATGTTCCATCTGTTTCTCTTTTATATTTGAAGTTTCTGTAATTTTTCATTTGTATTAAAGTTGTCTACACAGTCACATGTGAATGTGTCTAAATTACAGCGTTCTAACATATACTAACCAGAAAGTCTGAAAAAAGTAATCCCTGATAAGAATTTCTAAGTAGTAAGATCCCTGTGCTTGACTCGGCTGTTCTTTTGTGAGGGTATCTACTTGCCCTTTTATTGGAATTCTTAGCGTTTTCATTATTACAAACCATGTTTTATGTTGTGAGATTATATAAGATATGTTTTTAACAGTGATCTGACAGATGTGACAAAGTTGAGACATGGTCACAGCAATATGTGGGCTAAAAGCCATCCTTAGGAAAATGGGAAGTGATTCTGTATGCCTGAAGTTAGTTGTGTGAGTGATACACATCGCATCTGTCCTGTAGCACAGAGTTTTATAAACCTGTTCTATTCCCTCTTAATGGAGATGGCAGATTTCTGGAGGGGTCCCCGTAAGGGGCGGTCAGACTTGTCTGTCAGGGAGTATCCTCCTCGAGCAGTGAATTGTTCACCGCAGTAAAACATGAAGTTCTGACAAGTGCAGCTGCGATGTGCGGTGTATACGTTGTCCTCCGAAGGTGGAATTTTATTAGAGCTGAGGTACAGGGATGGCCAGGGAGAGAAGCACAGGCTCTGCATGCCATGGGCAGGTAAACACAGTTGTGCTGAAGTTCATGATGATTGCAAATGAGTGAAACTGAAAGGCTGCTCTATGACAGCATGCTTGGGCTGAGCCGTGACTCTGTAAGTAATATATAGTACACGTGTTGTTTGTTAGGATTGTGAAAAGTACCTGTTGTTGTTGTTAGAAGAGAGGGCATGTGTTGCAGTCACATGACTAATACAAGGAATTTAAAATGGTTGAATCATCTATTTCACACATCCTGGGGAAAGCTTCTGCCCAAGACATTGCGATGTGCTTCTCAGCTTAACAAGGAGTTTAGTTCCTCCATAGCTTTTACATAAGCTTTCCTGGGAAATAACCTGGTAAATGAAGTAATTTTTCTGATACTCTCGCCTTACGTTGGAGTGGCCTGTTTCCTCACTGGATTGCATGGGTGTGAGAATTCACTGGCAGATGAGGACCATCCCTGCACGATGGAGGTATTTTGTGGGACTTGCTGCTTTCAAAGTTGAGGTGAAAATGTTGTTGAAAGCTAGTTGTATTCGGGCTGTTCAGGCACCCGCGGGCAACCTGAAGGACTATTCCAGGAAACGTGTAAGAAGGAGGCAGGAGGCAGGAACGCTAACTGCATGACATGCAGTCCGAAGGACTTTGGCTTTTGACCTTGCTGTACTTTTGAGAGAGCTATTTCCTTACCTCGGTGTGCTATTTAACCGAGTGCTGATATTTCAAGCCTCATTTTTTCTTCAGAAATGCTAAGGGAGAGGGTTTGTGTATCTTACAATCTTGCCACTTTGCCAGTGAACCTTTTAAATTCATTGATCTGAAAATGTAACACTTCTAACACATTTCAGTTCACTTGCTAAGAAGTATAAAAGAAAATAAAATTGTTGTTACCCTACTAGTTTGTCTTACCAGCTTTGTGGTAAATCAGTGTAAGAATGTGAACTGCATATGATCTTTAAACTATCAAATCCAAGAAGTAACATAAAATCTTAAACAGTTTTGTTCTTTAGAATAAACCGTTTAATTTGCAGAAGCTTTATTAAGTGAACTCTAAAGTTCTCACAGTCCTGGAAGCCTTGTGGGTTTGGGCAGGCTCTCTGAGCATAGCTGTGGTCTGTTAGAATTCAGGTGCTCCAGACCTGGGGGATCTCTGATTGAATCAGTGGGTGAAGGATCCAAAAACAAGTAGTAGACTCTTCCTAGTGGAAGTCTCTGGCTAACACACTGATGAAGGTTGCTGGCATTCTTGACTGTTTCTCATTAAAAATTATTTTTAAAAAATTATTATGAATTTTTATTTTTAACACCTCGAAGCTATGGTTGAAATTTCTGCCATGAAATAAGTTGGAATTATTACAATAGAAAATTTCTGATTAGAACAAATGGAGATTTTTCCATGCTGGCAAGTCTAAGATATGTCAAAAAAGAAAAAAAAAAAAAAGGAAAACTGACTGGAAGTTGTAGTTTGGTCAGCTACACTACATCTGCTGTTTTTAACAGCTGCTACAATTTACTCAGGGTTGTAGTGTGTACGAGCTGCATTGCGTATCAAGTGTGGTAATTTTAAACTTTGTATTGATGAATCCTATGCAGCATATGTCAATGATTCTAAAATGTTTCAAGATAAAAGATGCAGTAAAAAAAAAGAAAGATTGTATTTGTGATCTTGCCAACAGTTACCATATATTTTTATAATTAGCTTGGATCTGACATCAACACAAAGGAATGCCTGGTTCTTCAGTGTGCCTCCAGTTCTTTCCATGTTTTTCCTTCTGGTTCCTTTTCATTTTATTCCATGTCATCTTCCTTATTCCTGTCTTCTTTTCCTCTTCTTTTTTGTTTAAACTAATTCCATATTCATTTCTTGTTACTCTTCACCAGAAGTTTCTCTTTTCAGGCTAAGGTGCCTCTGTGTGTACTTCATCTTTACATCTCTCATTATAGAGTCTGTTTAACTGAGCAGGTGTAGTTTGCAACTCTAATACCCCTTGTGGTGTTTTTTCTTAACTATAGATGCTTCGGGAGCACAAGTCTATTATTATTCAGAAACATGTAAGAGGTTGGCTGGCTCGAGTGCACTACCGTAGGACCTTGAAGGCAATTGTTTACTTGCAATGCTGTTACCGGCGCATGATGGCCAAGAGGGAGCTAAAGAAACTGAAGATAGAGGCCCGGTCTGTAGAACGCTACAAGAAGCTTCACATTGGCTTGGAGAACAAGATCATGCAGCTGCAGCGAAAAATTGATGAGCAGGTAAAAGCTCCCTGGACTCAGGGAAAATATTTAGAAATCTTGTATTACCTGTCCCAGTAGCACTGTGGGCATTCACAGAAAAATGCACGCAATTTTCATTGTAAGGTATCAGTTCTGTTTTCTGCTGAAGAACAGCGATAGAAGAGAAGGGGAGGCCACAGTAGAACTGGAACAATAAAGCACCCATTTGTGTCTGTCAGCAGCACTGAGAGAAAACATCTGCTCCCTTAATGTCAGTATTTCATTTGAAGCACGTCAATTGCTCTGTTTAAGGGGAAGGTGAGGTGACCATGTTTGGCGTGTGGGGGCTCCCTGTCTGATTTTAGTTTGGGATGTTAATGTGCAGGCTTAGAGACTGGACTGTTCTGTCACCTCGTTAAGCAATTCTGCAAAAACAGACTGAAACTTTTTGGAAATGGGGAAGCTGCTTTTTTGCTCCCGTGTCTGGGTATATTCTGTAGGGAACTGGAAGGCTCTCTTAAAGCAGAACTTCTCCAACAGCTGCTATGTCTGTGTTGTATTTTGGAAAGAACAAAGAGTACAAATTTCTGCTGGAGAAGCTGAGCAACCTGGAGAACACGTACAGTACGGAGACAGAGAAGCTGCGGAGTGATGTGGAAAGGCTTCGGATGAGTGAGGAGGAGGCTAAGAATGCGACCAACCGTGTCCTCAGCCTTCAGGAGGAGATTGCCAAGCTCCGGAAGGAGCTGCACCAAACTCAGTCTGAGAAGAAGACCATTGAGGAATGGGCAGACAAATACAAACATGAAACCGAGCAGGCAAGTATGCAGTCTCGGATGCATGAGAAGATTTATAGGGGCCTGGTGTCCACTCAGGTTTTGCCCAGGCTTAACTGCTTCAGTTGTGTGGCTGATATTTTTACAGTATTTTTAAGCAATGTTATACCTGTACAATCCTAAATAGGCTTGATACCTAAGTAACTACACCTATGGTAGAAGAAGATACTAAATCTATATATTGTATGTAAACATATGTATTCAATCTGTTCAGATTTTGATATTGAAAGTATTTGCAAATCCAAATACTTAAGCTTCCTCAATTAGTCAGAGGTAGCGCATTCATAAAAAGAAATCATTTTACCTACCTAGAGAGTGTAATCACATATATATATCAGAAATCTGTCCCATACACAGTATTCAAAGGTACCTGCTTACATCCTACCTAATTTAAACAATTAGCCTACTAAGTGCACAGTCTAGTTCAACAGGTTTTGACTAACCCCTTATCTTTGCTTTAACCACGAACATATCAAACAGGTTGTTTCCTGTCAAGATTACTTGCCGATAACGGTGCAAGTTTTGAATACTGGAAGAGCCATTCCATCATTATGTGATGCCACAGTGGTACATTTCAAGATCAGATAAACATAAGGAAAAGTATTAATTGATTAAGCAAAGGGAATGCGTAGTAACCATAATCAGAGACAAATGAGTAACTGGCAAACCTGGGCACGGTTAAAGTGGCACAGCTTTTGGGCAGAGGCAAGATGTTAGATTATGGTGTTACCCAATGCAATGGAATATACAGTAGAACTACCAAATTTGGTCCTATTTTAGGAATATTTCCATTTTAAGGAATGAATTACATCTTTGGGACTTTACTGAAAAATATTAGGGCACAGTGGAGTGGTTCAAGGCAGTTTTGGCGTCTGGTCAGAAATGGAGTGCAGGACATATAGGGGAATCTGCAGTGGGACATATTTAAGATGTAATTTGGGAAATGAAGACATCATAACTTAGTTCACTGATTTCGTTCTCTGAGGAAAAGTTTAAGTATTTGAACTCTTACAACAAAGATGTAGTTGCTGTTAGAGCTACTGATGAAAGATGAACTGCATTCCGAGTCAAATGTTTTATTATCTCTGTAGCTGGTATCGGAGCTGAAAGAGCAGAACACATTACTGAAAACAGAAAAGGAGGAGCTGAACCGCCGCATCCATGACCAGGCGAGGGAGATAACAGGTTGGCTCTGTTCTCTTCACTCAGGTTTTCTACTTCATGTTACCTTGTAAAGCAACACTCTACTGCATAGATTGGGCTAGTTTGCCTTAGTTTGCATTCCTTTTTAGTTTGACGGTTTCATTTCTTTGTTTTAAGAACTCATATGCATCGGAATTATTTACTATGAGTTTCCATGAAGTCCTAAGCATTTGGGGTCTTTTTGGTGAGGGTGACTGTTACAAAGCATTTTACTTTTAAAAGGAAGGCTCTGATATTTAGTACAATTAATCTACTGCAGCTCTTCTGGCTGCTGTGACTATGTAGACAGCAACCAGAAGAGCGTAACTCTAGATGCGAAGGCTGTGATGGAGGCAGGTGCGATGAGGAGGATCAGTGTGTTTGAGGTGTAAAGCATCTCACATTTTGCTTTTTCCATAATGCAGCACTGGGCTAGTGCCCCTTCTTCCTCCCTCCTGGAACTACTAACGCAAGGTATTAGCAGAATAACTAACTTGACTGAGTGAACCCTTCTGTGGTTACCACGATAATGTTTTGGTCCTTCATATATTTGGCTTAATGTTTGCCTGCAGAAGCACAAATACCACACACCAGCTTCAAAGAGCAGACTGTTTCACCATCTGTGTTCCTGGTGCAGACATGTGCCTGTACTTCCAGGACGGATGCACTCCATGGTAGGTAGAACTGGGGTTCTCACTTTGGATTCCTGTTCTTCGTGGCAGAAACGATGGAAAAGAAGCTAGTGGAGGAAACGAAACAGCTAGAGCTAGATCTGAATGATGAACGGTTGCGGTACCAAAACCTGCTGAATGAGTTCAGCCGTCTAGAGGAGCGGTATGATGATCTCAAGGATGAAATGAACTTAATGGTGGTAAGTGGCTAAGCATCTGAGAAACCAAAAGCTGTTCACCAACGTGTTTAGGCAGAATCTAGTGGTATTAGTTAGTAACTGATTCTGCTGTCAGCTGTGCGGTGGTGACCTGTACCTGAAAAGAGAATTTGTCCTTTTAAATATTGATTAATTAGATTAGCTCAGCCAAAACAAATACATTTAAAATTTGTGGTTGATTTTTTTTAAAATTTTATTTTTATTTTCACGTTTGTGAAGAAGGCTAAATTTCTGCTGTGACTTTGCTAGTGGTATTGCACGTGCCGTCTGCCCTTATTTTGCCCTGAAGTTATTCACATGTGCTAGGGTTGTTTGTACCACATTCATCCAGTGTTAAATTTTAAGTAGTTCTAGGAATATTTTATGTGTCAGGAAAAGAAAATATTCCTCAATACAATGTCTGGGAAGTTAGAGAATTGCTGCCTGTGCTTCCTGTAAACTGAGCTTTTCTTTCCCTCAAAATGCTGCGTTGTTGCTTGGATCTGCTTTCTGCACCAGTACTTGATGGCGTAGGATCTGACCTGTCTCCATAGATTTGATTGTGAACTACATCTCATAGGCTTTAGGTGGCATGAGAGACGAGAATCAAAAATCTTTTCTTATAAATTTTGATAGCTGTGAAATAACACCAAATATTACAAGCTAAATTATAGGTTGTGAAGAGACAGTCACAGGGAAAACCATATAGTGGTATTGATTTGTTTCATTTGCACTCCAGAACATCCCCAAGCCTGGACACAAAAGAACGGATTCAACTCACAGTAGCAATGAATCTGAATATACTTTTAGCTCTGAGATCACAGAAGCAGAAGACTTACCAGTGAGGATGGAGGTAATGTTAAAATAAACCCACAACTTTTCATTGATCAATGGTTGAACTTATTCCTATATCTTTTTTTTAAAACCCACAACTTTTCATTGATCAGTGGTTGAACTTATTCCTATATCTTTTTTTTGTATTTGCTTGTGAACACCATATCCTTATATTGAGATATCTAATGCTTCAATCCAACTTTTCCCATTTCCCTTTTGAAAACAGCTCATTCTCTAGTTAGTTGTGGTCCTATGTGAAAAGACTTTGTGAACGTATGCTTTGAATTCTTCTGTATTACAGCAAACATAGACTAGATACTTGGCCATCCAGTTGATTTGCATCTGTAAAACATTTGCTTACCAGTGTTTGCAAGCACAATCACTTTTTCAGCACAAAGTGGGAATTCAGAAAACCAGTGAGACTTCCTGAGAAGTTTGTATACCGTACATTCAAGGATTAAAAGTGGCAAGGTGGCTAGCCACATTCTTAGTAGCTACATGGAATGAGTTCCCTGTTAGGGGTGAGAACCTCATGCTGATTCATTTTTCCTCTATTTCATAGAGGAATGTACTATCCCTTTGCATATGCAGTGATACCAATCCCAGGATATTTAAAGATTTTCAGAAAGATGACTCTCCTGATTCAGCTAATGAATAATAATCATGAATAGTTTGTGGTACAACTCCAAGCCATTCTTAGTATTTTCCAAAATAACTCCCTCTTTTGGTCCCTCTCAAAGAAGTGGGACTGCTAACACAGCAGAGAGCCGTCAGGTTGGTGGTCTGACTGTCCTTGGCAGTTTGCAGATGCAAAGCTTTTTCTGTGCATTCTAGAGATCTTAACTGTGAGCCATCACACAGCTCACTCCATTTGCCCTCCCTCTAGGTTAGTTATCTCCACAGTTGCTTTTTACAGGCTGTCATTACTGTTTTTGAAAGCCTCCACAGAAAATTATTTTCTACTATGGATGCAAATACCCTGACACATCGATGCTGACACATATTCTATGCGGACTCTTTCATAATTTGCTTTCCCACTTATATTTTTCACCTTGCGTAATTGTTTCAGAAAGATGCTCCTACCTTCATGGATAATCAGGAAAAGGACAGCACAAGTACATGTGATTGGATTTCACATACGAGCCAAATGTCATCTTTTCCTTTGGCTAATAGACTTACTGAATTGCTGTTCTAGAGCCAGTTTTGGGTTTTAGAATATAAATGAAAAAAACTAACTCACACAAGAGTGTGAATAAATGCAGCACTGAGAAGATTAAATCTGTATTTGTTTAACCCCTTAAGATTTCAAACTCCAGTTTGACTCTAGACTAACAATATAGATTAATGATACAAAACCACATTAAAAAATAGGGTCCATCTCAATACGAGCCAGTAAAGCCAGAAAACTCAAAGTCTGTTTTCTTTTTCCTGAGCTGTTGGTGTGGTTTATGACTCTTCCCCTCAACAGTAAAAGGAGATCAAGTGGAAATGGCTGTGCTTGCTTGTCTGCTACAGTCATTAATATTAATTTTCTAGTTCCTTTTCTAGGCTTCAGTATTTTATGGTGCACTTCACAGTAAATGCTTTGATCTTCTTGCTACATAAAGTACAAAATGGCTGATGGACAATTTCCGATGCACCTTCAGATTACAAACGCTGGTCCTTGCCCAGAAAACAGTGGATTAGGCCCAGAACAGGCTGTATAATTAGAATAATAAAAGGAAAAAGGCATAAAATATATCTTCTGGTACCTATTTATGTCACATCCCACTAAATTAGCCTGTAAATCTACAATGAGCAGAGAGACTTCTCTGTAGCTGAAGGACTTACTGTAGAAATAATTTAAAACTAAAAAAAACCCAAACAACTTCTATTTACAGTTGTTTCCAGGTGAGTCTAACCACAGACTTTTTTTTCTCCTTTCCCCCTCCAAACAAGTAAGAATAAAAGGTATGCTTAATTATAGACCTCCCGTCTGCTAGGTAGTCTCTAGTGCTTTCTTTTGCTAGGCTTTAGGCTTAGATACATATTATACTAGTAGATCCTTTTTTAAAATAGCGTTTGACAGCTGATGAAATATTTTAGATGCCAATAGTCCACTCTCAGAATCAGTAACATTTCTGTGTTCCTCTCTTTCCCCAGTCTGTTTCCCGTCTTTACTGACTGTAGTGCTTCCTTGTGATGTGGAAGGGGAACACTTCTTGACTTCCTTCTGTTCTTTCTAAAGCAGGAACCAAGTGAGAAAAAGGCACCATTGGATATGTCTCTGTTCCTCAAGCTGCAGAAACGGGTTACGGAGCTGGAGCAAGAAAAGCAATCCCTGCAGGATGAACTGGACAGAAAGGAAGAACAGGCTCTCCGTGCTAAAGCTAAGGTGGACTCCTCCTAGCTGATCAGATGCTGATGCCAGAGTATCCCTTCTTGTGAAACAGTAGCTGTGTGAATGCTACCTGGCTTTTACTAAATCCTTGTCTTCCTCTAGTACTTGCTTTATTTAACGACAAGTTTTATGCCTGGTGCTTAGTACTAGGGACTGGTTATTTAGTTTTCCAAGGTCCTTGAGATCCTCTGATGGAAGTTAATGGGAACAAAAAGTGCATGGGACTTTGCTTAAAAAAAAAAAAGGCTGTTTTTATTAAGGAATAGCAATATAGAAATTCTACTTAAATGATGGGGAGAATGAGTAATTGTTCACTTTAGGCAGAACAAGAAGTGTTTCAACCAGGATGCAAGAATAAGAAGTGTTTCAACCAGGATGCAGAGCCAAAGCGCTGGGATTAGACATGTTGAGCAGATTTTATTTGAAATTCTCCTCTGATTTGGCCTCCTTAAGTACTTACAAAAATATGAAACCAGTTTTGGCAATTGTTTCTTAATACTCTTCCACCACTGAATTTCTTGAGCATCCTGGCATTCATCCTGCTCTGTTTTGTTTACCAGTGACAGTAGTGTGATTTGTACATGATTTTATTTATATTAACCAATTATGTGTCATAAATTCGTAAGTAAAGGAAAGGAGACAATGCCAATATTCAAACTAAAGCACTCAGCAGTACCAGAATGAGTGTTTTCCAGTTTTACAGGAAAATAATTTCAGCTCCCTTTCCTTTTCCTGCCTCAACTAAATTAAAGAATAGAAAGGATTGGATTTTTATTTTTCACACTTGTCTGTTTTCTTTCATAGGAGGAGGAAAGGCCTCCAATAAGAGGTGCAGAGTTGGAGTATGAGTCACTCAAGGTAATTCTAAAAAGGAGGTTTCTGTTATTTTCTAGTGAGAACATTGCCACCAATTGTATGTGCTGGCACAGAAAATTACATCAGCCCTCCTGTTCCAGAGTATTAGCTGGAGAAACTAGAACAGAAATTCCCCAGCAATCATTTTATTGTAGGATTGTCCTTTTTGAGGTGTAGAATGTGTGGCTGGGGCTGCAGAAAAAAAAGATCCCCTAAAACTGGGGGAGTTCTCTGTTGAAACACTTAGCACAGCTTGCAAGTTAATTTGAGCAAAAATACAGTGATAAATGTAGCCCTCTTTTCCAAACATGTTATTTAAATTAATGCATACCTTAGGCCACTAAAACTATTTCCTAATATCACTGAATGATGCAGAATCTTCTTAGCCTGCTGATCAGTATTCGTTGTGAACTTTATATTTTTTGTTAAGGGGAGAATAAGAGGAAAAAAGGATTGGTAATTTTTTTCCCATCACATCTGTATGATTCATGTGTATGTGTTCTGATTTTGCACTTCAGACAAAAGGTTAGCCATATTAGTGAAATCCTCCCAGGCACTATTCACCATACTCAAGAGGCCAGGGATACGGGAGAGATTGATTGATTTGTTGCAGTCACTCATCATTTTTACAGTTTCGATCCAGAGTTTTGTACCTGTGGTTTATAGGCACGTTGGAATGCTGCTGGGTGACGGAATTGTCCCTATTTCTTGCAGCGTCAAGAACTTGAATCTGAGAATAAAAAACTGAAGAATGAGTTGAATGAGCTGCAGAAGGCCCTCACAGAAACGCGATCTCCAGAGGTAACTGCTCCTGGTGCCCCTGCGTATAGAGTCCTCCTGGATCAGCTGACTTCAGTAAGTGAAGAGCTTGAAGTACGCAAGGAAGAAGTCCTCATCCTGAGGTCTCAGCTTGTTAGCCAAAAAGAGGCTATTCAACCCAAGGTAAATAATAGTCAGCAGATGCACCGTGTAGTAAAGTTACATTGCATCACTGATGTGCTTTATTTAATTCAACAGCATGCTTGAAAAGGCAGAAAAAAATGGTCTAGGTTTGAAAGCCTTTCTAAGTGTAATTCATTGACCCATTGTTAGGGCACAAATTGCCGCAGTCCGAATTGGGAGATTCTGTTAATAAACCAATTTTGGGTTTGTCTACCAGCATTCGTGTAAAGATACCATACTGATCACAGCAGGCTGGCAGATACCACTGATCTGGCCAGGATCTCCCCAAACTCCTTTAACAATGCAGAAATAATTCTCATTTGGAGCAGTATCGTTTCTCTAGTGAGTATGTCGTTTGACTGGAAAATTTACAATAGTTCTCAGGAGTTCTTTTTAATTAATAGTTCAGTAGGAGGTACAAGGAGCAATTTCTTCTAAATCTGTGCGGGGTCACAGATGATTGCAAATAAATAACATTTCATAAAGATGATCTATGAAGAGAGATAAATTCCATATTATTGCTTGATAGGTGCTATGTGGTTTTGTTGAGAAGAGTAGATTACAACCACTGAAATGCATACCTTCTAAAAAGCTCTAATTCTGGTCAGATACTTAGGAAAGTAATAGCTTTGAAAATAAGAGTCATTCAACCTGAAAAGGTATCATGTAAATCCAGGAACCAGTCATTTCCAGTGAACTGAGCTATCTAGTGTTTCATAACCGCAGCAAGGAACGAACAGGTATCTCATCTTTCCTGTGCTACTGCAAAGTTATGTTTATATGTGTCCTAAATAAATTGAAATTCTGTGATGCATGAAGGTGTACATACCCTGTTTTAAATGATTAATTATAAAGAAAACAAAACTCATTTTTCTGTAATATTTAGAACATTGTAAATAAATACTTGAATAGTAAATCCTTGAATAACTTATTCTCAGCAATGGTGGGATACAAGTGTTGTTTTTACAGCAGTTGTGAGTATGAGGGAAATATGAAGGTGACCTGTGGGATGGCTAACTGCCAGTTTGCAGGTAGCTTCTGCTTGTTAGGTTGGACAGCTGCAGCACAGACAGGGTTTTTTTAATGATTTGTTTTTCTTCTTTCTTGCCTACCAATTTGATTGCCAGGAGGATAAGGTACACATTTTCTTCTACAGTTATAAACCAGAACTCTTAAATGCTAAAAAACCCTCAACAATACTTGAGCTGTCATTTCCCTGCCTCTCATTAGTGACCTACATGTATATGAAGTTGTTCTTGCACTTTACTTTGCTGTTATTGAAAAACCTTTCTCATTATCTTCATGTCCCCCATGTCTCCATCTTCCCGCTCCACACAAGGGAACAAGTTATTTCAAAATGAGCAGATTTAACAATTTTGAACTGTTGGTTTATGGTAACCTGAACATGAAAGGAAAGATTCAGGAATTGGTCTAGTCAGCTCAATCAATGTATCTTGCTGAGTGTCTTAGGAGGGTAAGAGCAGCACTGTGATTCAGGAATCAGATCTCTATTAACTTGCAAAATCCATAAATTTCACCAAAAAACCTCTGTGGTATGAAGAACTACCTTACTTTATAGTGTTTGTTATCCTCGGCATGCAACAAACATTCAGGACTCACGTTGTGATCTGGAGATATTAGATAGGAATTGCTGAACGTTTGATTAGAAAATGTAGTTGAACACATGGTATTTAGGAGTATGAGAAACTGAACTGACTCTAAATGAAGGCTGTTAATTCAAATATTACAACTACAGCAGGTAGGGTATTCTTGAAGATATAAGAGTAATTAGCATTTCTTTCCATCAGCACAAAAATAACAAATATGTTCAGACTGCTAAAGCTTGATAGATTGGCAGGTGAGATACAGCAGTTTTACTGTGTAATAAAATAATAGTAGAAAAATCACAAAGATCTCATAAGGATATTGGGAATAATTCTTTGAGGAACTTATATATTTTATTGGTTTTCATATTAGATAACAGGAATCATACCAGGCATAGAGACCGAGGCTCCAAAATTTATGTCCACAAAGTTGTTATTGCAAATACTTGGCAAAATTTTACTCAGGAAAACAGCGTTTGATTGTTTTGAAAGACAAGAAGTCAGAATTCCATCTCTTACATTCATTATGTTCATTAGAGTCCTGTGGTTCCACAGCAATGACTCAGACTGGCCAAGGTGACTGTAAACATCTGTTAAATATTTTAAGTTTTACTGAAGAAAAAGCAAAAGTGCCATAGTAAACATTCAAAACTGAAACAAAATGGTATTATATCTAACTTAAAAAATCTCAAGCCCTTGTAAATTATTTCCTGCTTTGCCAGAGTACTTAAAATATATGGAGTGAGGAACAGACCTTATTTATGACATTTGAAAGACTAGATGTAATGCCATGTTTAAGAAATATTAATAGAATTAAGCTTGCAAAATTATGCTTCTTCAGTGTCAGTATTAGCAGCTGTTCCTGGTAATTTGAAATAAAATGCAAATTTGTCATTTCATGAAATTTATTTTGTTCCTTTTACATGATGAACAAATGAAAAGAGGTTAACACATGTACCTGCTTATTAGACAGACTGATATTTGACCATGTTGCATGCATTCATTTTAAAAGATACACCAAATGGACATAGAAATTATGGACCAACCTCCTGCTCAGGTACCCACACTAATTTTAATGTGGCTACTCAAGGATTAGTGTTCCACGTGGGTAAAGTGACAAAAACATGGATTCAAAGAACAATTACGTTGTTAAATTTACCCTGGAAATCATCACTGTTTTTCCAGAATACCATGACGGATTCTACAATCCTCTTGGAGGATGTACAAAAGATGAAAGACAAAGGAGAAATAGCACAGGCGTATATTGGGCTGAAGGAAACAAACAGGTACAAGTTCTCTTTATTTAATCTACGATCAGTTGGGGTCTGCTGTGACACACGGTGTCTATCATATTCAGTAAGTTGCATCCATGTAAGTCTAGATACTTAGAGAACACTTGTAGTTGGGGTTATAATTTGATTTAATTAGTAAAATTGCTGTGTGCAATATTTGAAAGAATTAGGAAACAATGGGGAAATGCAAAATCAAGCTTCCTGGATTTACATCTTCTTAGCCTTTAATTGCTACATTGCTCAAACCGGGTGCCATTCCCCATGCTGTTTCTTTACCTTTTGTCCAGTAGTTGTCACAATAGTCTGTCATAATACATTTACTGTAACAGCATGAAATGCTGTAACCAGTTGGGCTAACACCGAGAACTGAATTTCGTCATTAGGAAGAAATATGTATAAACAAGAAAAGTAATTTTCTAAGTTTTTTAAAGCATTGTTTGTTTCTTTTTTATAGTAACTGTAATTTAGTGTGTAATGTCCGTAACGTCATCTCATCACCATCACATCTCTCTCTTGTATTTTTTTAAAAACTTTTCTTGAAAGGCAATCTCCCCAGGACTATCATATGCTGAATGAGGACGGAGAACTTTGGCTGGTTTATGAAGGGTTAAAACAAGCCAACAGGTTACTAGACTTCTCAGAATTGGTTTTTTTCTTCGTTTGCATCTTCTTTTCTAGCTAACTGTGCCCCTTGCTATGGGTTTGCTTTAGCTACAGTATTTCTATTGCTTTAACAGTTAGAAAAAAATTCATCACAAATTTTACAAATCAAAAAGAGTTTCCTCAAACTTGGTCGCAAAACCTTTCTACTTGTCAAATTTTATCATTAAAAAGTTCAGATGGAGGCAACAACTAACACATAATTCATAAGAATACTTGCACAAAAATAGACTGTAAAGTACCAGAAGCTCCACAAAAGCTGGAAAAGATTTGTAGCCATATAGTATTTGTCTGCCTTTATGTCGGGTATCAAAATTAATTTTGCAGTCCCTTGCAGTTTTTCAGCCTGAAGAAGTACAATCATTTTAGTAATAAAACTGTTGTTTGAGTAGCTTCAGCGTACTCTTAACTTGCAAATAGTTACGGGTCTTACTCTCCTTGTTGTGACTCAAGTTCAGTAGTTTGAACATTCTTCTCCCATGTCTCTCCATGCCAGATTCAAAATGTAAGACACAAAATAACCAATAAACGGAAATAATCTTTAGTTCATCGTGGCGCTGTTCAAGCCTCAGTGCAATCACTGCAGTCTCTGCAAAGACTGTGTGCTGGTCATGTAATGGGTGAGATTCACCTTGTTAGGAAATGCAGTTCTGGCTCTGCGGGTGCGTCTGGGCCCCATATTCCTAAACCCAGTAGTTTGAACATTCTTCTCCCATGTCTCTCCATGCCAGATTCAAAATGTAAGACACAAAATAACCAATAAACGGAAATAATCTTTAGTTCATCGTGGCGCTGTTCAAGCCTCAGTGCAATCACTGCAGTCTCTGCAAAGACTGTGTGCTGGTCATGTAATGGGTGAGATTCACCTTGTTAGGAAATGCAGTTCTGGCTCTGCGGGGTGGTCTGGGCCCCATGTCCATACACGTGTCCCAGACTTCCAGAATGGTTCCTAGTCCTGCACTGGCAACTAATTCAGTAGATCAGCAGGGCTGATCTTCTTCAATATACACATTTGGTAGTAGTAACTACAGAAGGGGGTATTTTGCAATGGATGCTACTAACTAAAGTCTTTCCTTTTCTTGTGCTAACAAATTCTACTCCGTCTGGGCCCCATGTCCATACACGTGTCCCAGACTTCCAGAATGGTTCCTAGTCCTGCACTGGCAACTAATTCAGTAGATCAGCAGGGCTGATCTTCTTCAATATACACATTTGGTAGTAGTAACTACAGAAGGGGGTATTTTGCAATGGATGCTACTAACTAAAGTCTTTCCTTTTCTTGTGCTAACAAATTCTACTCCTAACATTGTTTTGTAAGCCTGCGAAGATCTAACTTAGAGCAAGTGTTCTGCAGAGCAGGATGTGAGTGTTTGCTCTGCGCCTCTTGTTTCTTGTCTTAGCACTGTAGAGACAAGAAGCTTTCTATTAAATGGCAGAGCGTTGCAGGTAAATGACTATTTGCCCTTGCGTGCTTGATCAGTCTAGTTACTAATAAATGTGCCTGCCTTATGCATATTTAAACCCTGAAAGATTGTCTAATTGAACACTAGTAGTCATTAGTAATGTCATTTCCTGTGTGTGTGTATGTACGAAATGATGAGTCAGAGCGCTTGGACAGTGCCTTGCAAGCAGGAGTAGATCCCCACAGCCCTGCTCGGAAGGAGGCTGGTACGTGTTATCCCCATTTCACATGAGAAGAATTTGAGATGTGATGTGCCCAAGGGGAAAGAGCGAGTCAGTGGTGAGGATAAAATAGAGTTCCCGGATCCCAGCCTTGAGTTTGTTGTTAACCTTTACTGCGCTAATGACAACCCTCTGCAAAATGTTGGTTTTAATATAAAAATAAGGATTATTTATGTGCATCTGCAATTGAATGGTTTCTGACTGAACAGAGTTAACTATAAGAGGATTTTCCTTTGTTAATATTGCAGGGTCCTAGTTTAAGCGAACACACCGTCTTCTTCATCTTACACAGTCTGTTTGATTTGATTAGAGGTAAAACCTCCTTAAAGCCCCTTCAAAAGCCGTGACAATCTGTGAAGACATAGCAATACATTTATTGCCGCATGTTCTCAGTGGCACCATACACAGTATGTGTTCAATCACAAAGGACATGCAAAGCAGTGTCACAATTAGTTTCTCTCCACTTTTTGATCATGCAAGCTTAATTTAATTAGAAGGCATACTGACGGGTTTAAAGAGTACTCTGCCTTTTTCATTTTCCTTTGCAAGCCATGGCTAATTGTTCCTGAGCAGCAGCTAAAGCTTTACACTCCCTCTGAGAATTGAGGATGTAACTTTCTAAGTGTGTTCACGCAACTGTTGCTCAACTTCTTTAGGCTGCTGGAGTCTCAGCTTCAGTCGCAGAAGAAGAGCCACGAGAATGAACTGGAATCGCTGCGAGGTGAGATCCAAAGTCTGAAGGAAGAAAACAATCGCCAGCAGCAGCTCCTAGCCCAGAATCTGCAGCTGCCTCCAGAGGCCCGCATTGAAGCCAGTCTACAGCATGAGATCACCCGGCTGACTAATGAGAACTTGGTAAGGGAAATGATGCTGCAGGAGCAGGCTGGGGGACTTACAGACCTGCTGCGCCTGTAAGTTCTTACCAGTTTTCAGATGGCAACCTCCTGCAAAGAATTGCATGAGTGCAGTGGTTTTTTTGTAGGTAAGCTAATGGGAGAGAGAGACTTACAATTGCTGATGAGGTAATAACGTTTCAGGGAATTTGTTTGAAGTTTGTGGCATGGAGAAAGCTCGTGGATCCCAGCTTTCAGATGATGAGTTTAATCATTGCTAAATAGAATGATTGATATCCAGGGAACTCATAAAAAATACTAGTGCCAAGTAGTGAAGTTTCCACTGAACTATATTAGTTCGTTTATTTTGTTGAAAAACTCTGATGTGGTTCTTCAATTATTTAAGATCACTTTTCTTCCCATTTCCCTCCTTCCTGCCTGAAGCTACACAGATAATCCACTGTGTTATGAGCTCCAGCTGTTCAGTATGTTTTGAAGAAAGAAATAGTTCCAAGAAGAAGAAACTTGGTTAGAAGTCACTTAGCTAATAATTGGTATTCCTTGTTTACTGCACAACATTTTTGTATGAAGGAAAGATCAGGTGAAACTCCTTACCTTTCCCTGCAAAGGAGTGTGTTCATCATGTGCAGGCTAGTTCAATTCTGGGGAAATTTTCCAAAGAGGCCCGTGTTGGAATATCGTTGGCTTATCACTGTTCATTAGTGAATGGAACCATGCTCCTTCAGGAAGAAAAATCCTAGCTCTGAGTGTCATTACTTTCTCTAAACAAGCCAAGGTGTAGTCTTTCCTGCTTACGTATGTTACAGAAGTTATCATTGTCGGGCTCTTGTCGTAGTACCAAAGGTTTTGAGGAAAGCATCAGATAATTCAGTGGATAGATCTTGGAAAACTGATTCAAAGTATATTATAAGTTTGCCTCAGCAGCAGCTGTCTCCTGGCAAAGGTAGATGGCAAATGTTTCCGTCTCTGACAGCTCCCTCCTGCTGCTTAGTCATATGTTATGATTTTTAGCCTTTTTTTCCCCCCAGGAGACCTACTCATCACGTTCTGTGTTCCCAAGACAACACACAGTCATCTAATGACATCCCAGAGGAGCTCTCTTTATTTTCAAATACAGTGAATGTAATTTTACTTGTTAAATTTAGACTCATTCCTTAGTATTTCAGTTCTGATGTTTGAGTGTTGCAAGTCCACTCCAAGTCAGGGAATATGCTTCTTTTCCACTCCTAGCCCTAGAGTGGGAATAATTTACTGGCTTTCCAGATGTGATATTAGAATTGCAGTATTCACTGCAATCTCCTCTTGATTAGCATAAGAAAATGTCCTGTCCAGGTTCTCACAAAGGTTATATTCCAGGCTGTCACAGTATTAGTAGTGCCCATTTTTAAAAGATCTGACTGTTCTGCAACTCATCTACATCAGCCTCTCTCTGGGAGAGGCTGGAGTGAGCACCACACCTAAGGACTAGACTACCTAAAAATTAGAGATTCTTGATCTTGTTTTAATCTGATTTCATTTATATAGTGCTTACTGAAGTATCACTGTCTCAAAGGCAGGGGAAAAACTATCCTGTACCTATTTTTACAGTTTTATGAGGAGTTGTATGCAGATGATCCCAAGAAGTATCAATCGTACCGGATTTCACTTTACAAACGGATGATTGTATGTAGATCACGTGAACCCTGTTTCTCTGTTGTCTTGTTCGCCATTTCTGGAGCACTAATTGAAAAGCAGGCTGCCTCCCTTTCTCCCTTTCAAAGGAAATCCCCTGCAGAGAGCTTCACGATGCCAATTACTTCCCTCACTGCTTTTTTTGTTAGTCTTAGTGTCCTCTGTGTAATCTGTGTCTCTTTTTGATGCACAGTTTTGTTACTAATATAAGTCTTGCACTGTGACCAAAGCAGTTTCTTTCTGAATACTACTTAATACTGCCCTGAAAAAAGCGGTACACGATGCAAAAGATGCTCAATTTTCAGAACCACTCTGCTTTGAAACTTTGATACATTTAAATTCAGTTCAGCAAAATAGAGGTCTGATCATACAGATACTTACGAAGGTGAATAATGCCTGCAATTGTGAGTAGCCCAGTCTTAGCCTGAATTTGTTCATAGATACCTTTACAGTGCCGACATCTGGAATGAATAAATCTATCAGAATCAAAATACATAACCTTTCAGTATTTTTCAAAAATGCAAAGTCTGAAGGATAACATTGGAAATAATACTATATTTCCATAATAATTAAAGATAACAAATTGAGATAGCACCATATGTAATCTTGAAAGAATATAATTCATGAGATTCCAAATCTTAATGAGATGTGAATCTCTTCTATTTGTTTAGAGGAACCATAGAAAGAACTTTTTTCCTCCTCACATATTTGTTGTTCAGAAATCATATCCCTTTACTGATATTTTCAAAACAGTCTGTTGGACTTAGATGGGGTTTTTTTATTAATTTCAGTAGAAAATATATCTGATGATAAGTATATTGTGTTATTAACAGGATTTCTGTTGTAATACTGAACGCTACTTTGAATATGAAGCATGGCCTTGATTCTGTTCTTTGAACAGGCCTAATATCTTACTGCTCCAGTATATTAGGTTGTAAACTCTTTATTACATGATTGAGAGCAATTCTGTGCCTAATGCAAGTTTGTTGCCAATGCTGCACTAATATTTTTCAGTATTTTTAGGAAAGGTGTAGTTTCCCAGATGATGCTTTTGATGCAAGGAGCTCATGGTCCCTTATGTTCTTATCAGTGCCATGAAGAATCATGCTTACAAAAGAGCATTTTTCTTTTAAGCTGCTTTCAAACCCTTAACCTGGAATGGCTTTCAGGTTTTTTGAGCTTGAGGTTTTGCTTCCTTCAGAAGACTTCCCCTTTTTTAATTACATTATTATTTCATGAATGCACTCCCATAGGTCACAGAATTATTCAAAGAGAGATTTCTGGGGAGTGCTCCTTTGAAAGAAAAATACAGCTTTCTTCAAGAGTAGGACTTTTAGGTGCTAGGTGTTGTTCAGGTACAGAATAAAAGGATGTAAGATCCCAGTTTCTGTCTAAGGAAATGTGATGACAGCAAGCGATAGGGAGATGGCAGAGAATTACAAGTAATGTCGTTATGTTTGGAAGTTTGATGATTTTGGTAAATTTGAGTGCAAGATATGGTCTTTCTGCAGATGTCTCTCTTGTAGTCTTATAAAATGGATAGGTCTGAATAACAAGTCAGTCCTGAAGGCATGAATAAATGATGCAGAAATACAGGCTAGCTGTTACATAATAAAGAAAATTATTTCCGTGAGGCATTTGGAAGAGCAGGGAGGAAGCGTTAGGGAGATGTGTTTGCAGCAAAATGTCTTCTGCCATAAGAACTGACCTAGTTCTGAGTGTCTGCAGAATATACCTGCCTAAGAGCTTTGCCTTTGTCATGCTGCACATATCTTAACAATATTTGCGATACTTGGCTTGTGTTATAGGCAGCGTACCAGCTTGCAAACCTCAGCCAGAGGATGGCACCACTGTTCAGCTTTCCTCACCGCCTTGTAATTCTAACAGCACTGATTTTGTCTCTGTCACACGTTGTGGCACTTTCTCATATCTTAATCTCTCTCTCATTTTAATTTACAGGATTTAATGGAGCAGCTTGAAAAGCAAGACAAAACTGTTCGCAAGTTAAAGAAACAGTTGAAAGTATTTGCTAAGAAGATTGGTGAACTTGAAGGTACTTTTATATTTTGAGAGGAAGAGAAAGATTTTGGTTTACTTTTTGTGATTCCGTTGTCATCATATCCATCTGTCTTAGCAGTCAGGAGGGCATGAGGTCTTCAGTAGCATTAGCCTCTGTTAATTGATTCCAGAAACAGGAGATGCACTCAGAGCTCTCTGTGTTCCTTTATAAACCTTTAGAATATTTGTCATATTTTGAAGCAACAAGTAAAAGGAGGTTGATGTTCCTCTGAAGGCAGAAACCATTGAAACATAAAGGAATGTTACCTGGCCTATTTGTGTACTCAAAGACAGTATCTGTTTTTCTAAAGACAAAAGCAATACTAAATATGAACCAGGCAGAAATAATTTACCCAGTTTTCCTTTGTGAATTTCTGTATCACTGGAGCCAAGAATGCTGAGACTGTCTTTCTCCGCTTGAGGTTTCCTTTCAGAGCTGCTGGCCAAACTTGAATATGAGAATGCCGAGACATGGACTAAGCTAATTTTATTTTTATGAGCATCAAGAGTGAGTTGCCTTAGGATCTTAGGACTGGTGAGACTGAGAGCTTATTATGTCTGCATAAGTAAAGTCATTTTAATTGCTAAAAGCAATTAATAATGTTATAAAGTTGAAGTATGAATTTGTTTTTAAATAATCCTGGTCCTAATCTTTCAGAAGCTTTTTATGGTCATCTGTTTCCTCCAGAACGAGCTCACTGCCTAATGAGTTGTTTTATTGAGTACTAAGATTGAAATTAGTGACTGTGTAGTCTTCAGCACGTCAGTGTTTGAAAAGAACAGTGATACCAAGTTAAACCTGGATTAACGAGAGTATATTATCCTTCAGCTAGTCGCAGCTCTCCTCTAGCTCCAGTTTGGATTTCTGCATTTTCTATCCCATCTGACAGGTTCACACATGTAGCACACTTACAGGATGTGCAGTAGTTTGTAGGGATTGCATGCAGCTAGGAGGGTTGTGAGAAGAGGATGTAGCTTTCATGGGATGAAGCCAAGTTTTGCTTTTTAAAAACAAACATGCAGCCTAACCAAGTGGAGTGTAGGTGTTGAATGTGATACCGTGAGGCACTGTATGCAACAAGGTGGATATTTCATATATCCTTTTGAAAGGTTACTCAAATTCAGGTTGGTTTTAAAAAGTCTTTCAATATTGTTTGGTTACTACCGTGGACAAAATCACAGCAGTGTTCTTACAAAATGCGGAGTGGGAAAATGCTTCTGAAAACATAGTTTAGTCTGTGTTTATTACCTAATTAACTTAGAAAGATGTAGTAGGTCTGGCTGGGATGGAGTTAACGTTCGTCATAGCAGCCTGTATGATGTTGTGTTTTGGATTTGTGGCTAAAACAGTGTTGGTAACACGCCGGTGTTTTGGCTGTTGCTGAACAGAGCTTGCACAGTGTCAAGGCTTTCTCTTTTTTCCCCACTCTGCCCCCTCAGTGAGTAAGCTGGGGGGATGGGAAGGCACACAGCCAGGGCAGCTGACCCAAACTGGCCAAAGGGATATTCCATATTCCATACCACCTAACATCGGGAGCCAGAAGCGGGGTTTTTTGCATACAAGGTGGCTGCTGTTTGGAGGCTGGCTGGGCATCGGTCCCCCTGGTGTGGGGGGGGGCATGAGTGATTGCCTTTGCTTTGCTTTCCCCCTCTCCTTCCTTCACCTGTTAAACTGTCTTTATCTCAACCCACGAGTTTTCTCACTTTTGCTCTTAATATTCTCTCCCCTGTCCTGCTGGAGGGCTGGGGGGAGCTGAGCCAGTGTGGGTGTGTGGGTGCTTGGTTGCTGGTCAAGGTAAACCTACCACAATAGGTAACAAACATCAAGCTTGAGAAATACTGGCATTTTGCAGTATTTCACAATTAACAGTGACCCTTGCAGTATTAATCTGGGATTAAGTGATTAACGGCTATTGCTTTGCCTTTGTGCTTTTATATAATAAAATCCAGGAAATCAGCAGTACATCTGTTGGATGGAAGCCATTCATGCACTTCCACTCTTCTTCAAAGGAAGAGTGCCACCCCAAGATATATTTATCAACAATCTGTCTTTTCGTTTAATGGGAGTTTTGTTGCTAAGTGTTACCCTGAACCAAAGAAAAACATTTCTTAGTTCTATATGCTGGAGTTCTTCCTTAGAAATGTCATTGTTTCCTCTGATGTGCATTGGTTTCACTGGAAAATATTATATTACATAATTTCTTTTCATTTTCCCTCTGAAGTGGGCCAGATGGAGAACATATCACCTGGACAAATCATCGATGAACCTATTCGTCCAGTTAACATTCCACGGAAAGAAAAGGACTTCCAAGGGATGTTAGAATATAAGAAGGAGGATGAACAAAAACTTGTCAAGAATCTTATTTTAGGTAAGCATCTTTCTCATTTGCAGCCTCCTCTGCTCCCACACACTCTGAAAAATGAACGATAAGAACACAGAATTTGCATTATGAAATGAATAGCTTATTTTGGTTTTGACAGTGTTCAGTTTATCTAAAATTCCTAAATACCTATTGTAATCTAATCATCCTTCCTGATTAGTATAGTACATATTAATGTGTCTGCATATTTTTTAGCAGGCAGTTATGTTTTATTCTGTTCTGCTATTTTACCAAGAAAGTGGCTCTTTTTAGTTTTACTCTTAGTTTTCACTGGCCATGTATAGACATGTATGTACAGTTAACTGTACAGATTACCACATATAACACCTTCCAATGGCTTTATACTTAACAAAACAATGTGTGTTTGTTTTTCCCAAGAGCTGAAACCACGTGGGGTAGCCGTCAACCTGATTCCAGGACTACCAGCATATATTTTGTTCATGTGCGTACGCCATGCGGATTACCTTAATGATGACCAAAAAGTGCGGTCGTTGTTGACTTCCACTATCAATGGCATCAAAAAAGTGTTGAAGGTTAGTTAGTCTGCTTGGTTTAGGAAAACATTCATTTAAAATTTGTTTTTGATTTTATGTTAGAGGAGCGAGGAAAAGACTTTCAATGAATTGGCTCTGGATTTCTGATCAGTAACGTCCTCACACCAAAGTTACAAAAAGTTGTTAACAAGCAGCAAATTATAGTGATAGCATTTTATCCACATAATACCACAGTTGGTTTGAATTAGTGGAAAAAGAACTACGTTCTTTTATTTTGAATAGACTTCCTCCTCTGAAGCTATGCCTGTAAAGCTTTGGATGCAGTCAAAGTTTGCCTAGTGAATCTTTGTAATCCAGAATACTTCATTAAAATGTTTCATTTGCAGTTTTGGTTCACAGATGTCCTCACTTGCTTCACCTACAGATTACATTGATGACAACATGTTACTGCCTATAGGCTTCGCAATGAGTTGGCTAGGAGAGTTTACTCCAGGGGTATCCTGAAAGCAATATTAAGACATAAATATGCTTTATGTTTCATGGAGTTTTACAGTTTTTAAATAAAGCAGATGTGCTCAAAACCCAAGCATTTAATCAAGCTACATGTTTTGAAAAAACATTTAGTAAACAATCCTGTAGGAGCTTAGATATTCATAGAAACTTTTGGACATATTTAAGTGAACGGAATGCATGCTACAGAGCTCTAGAAATTTTAATTACTCAGCATATACTAGATGGTATGTTCTTTGGCGAGGAGGGCTTTTTGTTTTATTTGTTTTCCATACCAGGCTGCCAAATGGGTTATGATGTAAGTGACATTCATGCAAACTGAATTGCTCTCTGCTCCTCCTGCTGGTTCTGCATTGTTCCCATCCTCTGTGCTGGGCTCTTCACAAGAGTCATTGTGCCACAGAATGAGTGTTCTGGGAATACAGTCACATTGCCCTGTGATTTCTGCACAGACCAGTTGGGATGGGTCTGTAAAACACAGAAAGATCGTATCTGTGGAGGAAATGATATTTTGAAAGTTTTTGAAAAACATTATGGAAAACAGGAAGGGTGTTTAATGGTGTTCTGTCAAAAACCTTGCTTTTCTAGTACGTTACTGAAATACACAAAGTTTTGCAAAACATCAGACTCTAAGTAGCTACAAGAAAGTAGACTTTAAGTGTTTAATTGTTCATCTAACACTTTGTTATTTTATCCTCCTACCAGTCTTTGTTGAAATGTGTTTGTTTTTATCTTCAGAAAAGAGGTGATGACTTTGAAACAGTGTCCTTCTGGCTATCTAACACCTGCCGATTTTTGCACTGTTTGAAGCAATATAGTGGAGAAGAGGTAAGCAGTGCTCCTACTCTGGTTTCTTTTGCTCTGCAATGCTATTGTGAGCACTACTCTTAACAAATTCCTGTAATATTTCAAAATCTAGTCGGTGTCTCTTAAAACAGCTACACTTTTTGGAATGATGGTGATGATGTCAGTGGAAAGCACAGGGAGTAAGATTTGAACCAGTTTCCCTTTATTGCAGGCTGGGGGGCCCAGCAGCTAGATGACCTTGTGCTCCCAAAAGTGCCAACTGGCTGCTACCATTATGTTGTTTAGTAACGATTCACTGAACTTCCTATGAAAAGGGCCGTACTAAGCCCTTAACCACAGTACGGCAGACCAATTTATGTTTGGAGGCTGTGGTGTGCCTAATTTCTTCTTCATTAACTGGGATTTTGGCTGTAAATGGCTGGGTGAGAACACCCATGCTGGAGTGGGAGGGAAGGGTCTTACCTGCCAGAAAGTTGGCAGAGTTTGTTCCCGTGTCAGATATTTGAATTTGCAAGTAAGTCAAGGAAGCAGATGTGGCACAAGTCACAACTGAAAAGCAGATCTTAGCATTAGCCTCAATCAGAAGAACTTCCAAATTAAAGTTTTGAGGGGCTGTGACTATTATTTTGAAAGTATTATTTGTCAATTGCATGAAAAAATATCAATACTGTTTTTGTGTAATATTTTTTTATTGCATTGAAGCATTTGTTTCTGTTATTTTATGAATTCAGGGATTTATGAAGCATAATACACCTCGTCAAAATGAACACTGCCTCACTAATTTTGATTTAGCTGAATACAGACAAGTACTGAGTGACTTGGCTATTCAGATCTACCAACAACTTGTCCGAGTGTTGGAAAACATTCTGCAACCAATGATTGGTAAGGCGAAGTTGAATTCCTTAAGCTTCACACCATAGTACCAAAATGAAAACTGTGATGGTGGTAATATGCTATATCTTGTATTTCTTCCTAACCAGTAGAGTTTTATTAATAGTTCTTGTGGTATTCTGTTTATAGATGACAAGGACTACACTGAACATGTTTGGATTAGAGGGAAAACTAAACTGTGACTGGTTCTTCTGGCAGTGACAGAATAAATCGATATACCTTATTCATATTTGTCATAAATAATGCATTCACAAGAAGAAACTGTTAGGACAGTCTGATATTTGTTGTCCTGTGTGTTGGGAAATATCCCATGCAAAAACTGGACTTTAATTACATGATAGCTCGTAATTAAAATGAATATTGAGAAAAATGGCTGGTTGTCACGATGGACAGCAATCAGCAATGACATAGCTAGCAGTGATGAAGCTTGCATTCAGAGAGATTTTCTTCATTAAAAATACTTTTCCTTTTTCTTGTCAGACAGTACTCTCTCACAAATTTTCATTATGCTTTCCGATCACACCATTTAGAAGAATGAAACAGCTCTTGGTTTGCTGACTCTGCTGCTCATATGACCATGGGAGGAAAAAAGTATTTTGCTGAGCTAGAGTTAGACCTTCCTTTCAAACACACATGCTGGAATCTTTGTAAAAACCCTGTAAGCTTAGATTTTGTAGAACACAGTGGGACACAGAGAATTGCTGGAAATCATGGCAAAGTGTGGCTAGGAGAAAGCCCAGCCTGCTCTTTCTGAGTAAATACTAAGTTTTGCCATCTTGCACAATATGCTTGCATATAGGAATTTTCAGTCATTATAATAATGTTGTCAATCAAATGCAGTTTCAGGAATGCTGGAGCATGAGACTATCCAAGGTGTCTCAGGGGTGAAACCAACAGGGCTGCGGAAGAGAACATCCAGCATTGCTGATGAAGGAACCTACACTTTGGACTCCATTATTCGGCAGCTGAACTCTTTCCATTCAGTGATGTGTCAGCACGGAATGGATCCAGAGCTGATCAAACAGGTTGTCAAGCAGATGTTCTACATCATTGGGGCTGTAACACTTAATAATCTTCTCCTGCGCAAGGACATGTGCTCATGGAGCAAAGGAATGCAGATAAGGTGGGAGAGCTCATTTTATACTTTCCTTGAATGTGCTGCTGGAAATTTTAGTGAACTCTTGACACTGGTGAACATCATTTTGATGGAATAGCAGACACACTTTTAATGTGGTAGAAGCAAAACAAAAGTATTTCATCATCAAGTAGGAATCAGAACTGTAGGTGAAATGTTGGTAGTTGCTTTCTCAGCCTGCTGCGTTCTTTGTATGCTGGTGGCTCAGTGGATACCTGCTGTGTTCATCCACGTTGTAGTTTGCTGCATCCCGCGGTAAAGCCATCTTATTCTATTCCTGCATTTGGCATCAGTTGTCCAATGCATTCTACTGGCAAACACCAGGAAATTTACCCAAGGCGTTCCAGTCCCTCAGGTAACCTTGAAAAGCCTCACTGTACATTTGCATGGACAAAATCTCATTTGCCTTTCTTCCTATACTCATCACATTCCCGCAATTAATAGGAACAGAAACAAATGGCAAAAGCTAGTTAGTGGAAGTCTTTGGCCATAGTTTCTAACTGTTTTGAAACTCAGAATTTTCTGCCTTAATCAGAAGGAAACAGTATGAAGACAAAACTACAAGAAATGCCAAGTGTGAAGGAAAAATACGTACGGAGAAAGAAGAAACACTGGGAAAGAGAAATTGCAGGTGCTTTCGATTTAGCCATAATCAAGCATTAATGTCTTGATACTCTTACCCCTTTGTACAGATACAATGTGAGTCAACTGGAAGAATGGCTACGTGATAAAAATTTGATGAATAGTGGGGCTAAGGAAACACTGGAACCCCTCATCCAGGCTGCACAGTTGTTGCAAGTAAAAAAGAAAACGGATGAAGATGCAGAAGCCATTTGTTCAATGTGCAATGCACTGACTACTGCCCAGGTAAGCAACTCTCACTGGCTGTTCTGCTGTCACTTTTGAGCAGTTCTCTGCTCTGTTGGTGTTTGCTATGCCTGCCTGCACTGCTGTCGCACATGGATCGAAGATTTCTTACTTTGTTTTGAAGATTTCTTACTTTGTTTAAACTGAGACAGATTAAATTGGAGGGGTAAAAAAAAGACCAGATCTTTTCTGAGGTCTGATGTTCAAGATTGTAAGTTTTGAACAAACGAGAGGAAGCTCATAGCAATAGATTGTGCAGTGTGTAGCGCTATACATAGTCTCTTAATTCGTGAAAATCCTTAGAGAAAACTCTTCACTCTAAGACATCTCTGTACGCCGGCAACTCTGCCTAGGAAATTATCTTTCTGCCATCGGAGTTAGTATCCAGTTAAGTTAATGGACAATTCACACAGAGCTGTTCTCTCTGGGTCTGCAAACAAGTGTGTTAAGTTACTGTACCCATTAGCCTCAGAAAGGCTGAACCAAGTGTATCTCAGGAAACAGCTGAAGACTTCTATTGATGAAAGCTTAGATTTTATACAGATAAGTTGCACTTTTTTCTTAACCATGCTATATTTGCATAGAGCTTGTACAGGAATAACTGGATCCAAGCATTTTTGATGATTAATGAACATTCCCATCAGGAAAAGGAAGACATTTCTCCATTTCTTTCACAATGGTGTGGGCACTAGCGGTTGCATTGATACAGCCTTTTTGATTTAGTAATTCACATTGCTGGAAAATCTGTTTGTTTTGTACTGAAATAAGAAGTCAGAATTCCACATGCTTCAAGTGTTTTAACTTTGTTTAAAAGTGTTGTGGTTTTTTTAAGAGAATCATGTAAACAAAGAGAAATGTTTAACCCATATCATTATTTAAAGTCTTTGTGTCGCTGTTCTTTCCTGCAGTGGCTTTAGCCCTATTTTTAGAGCAATAGCTCGCTCTCTTGAAAAACAGTGAAGTTATAAGACCCTCTTGAATGGAAGCTACAGAAGGTCATAATTATAGGGTCAAAATTAGGGAGAGAAATACAGCATGTTTCTAGGGTGTAGGAACACGATCAGTTACTTACCATCTGATTTTTCCATAGTTTGGCATTTTCCACACACTTGTAGAATTTTAGAGTTTCTGCCTCCACAGAACACAGGTCCTGAAGGAGGCAGTCATATAACATTGCATTAAGCAGGTGATGGAATTCTGTATGAATCAATAAAGCAAAAAATAACAAATAGTTGTAAAGAATTTTCTTTTTAAAATAGCTAATTGAAAAAGTATAGTATTAGTAATCATGGATGCGTCTGTTAATTCATCAGTAAAATGAACCTAAGAATGGTTGTTCTTCTTCACAGATTGTAAAAGTCCTGAATTTGTACACTCCAGTTAATGAGTTTGAAGAGAGAGTCTTGGTTTCATTTATACGTACAATACAGGTATGGCTGTATCTTTTCATCAAAAATCATTTGACTATTTCTAAGAAACCCTCTGATGAGCCAAAATAGCTTGTGTCCTGAAATACATTCAAGAATCTGAAGTAAACTAGGCTTTTTAGCTATCCTTCTTTAACTATGTTGAAAAGGTGATTGTCAGCCTTAAAACTTTAAGCAATCACAATTTACTGCCTCCAGACTTGCATGAAAATGTTAGTTTCCCTGTCAGCACGTATGAGATTTTTTGGAAGGTGAGAGTTTTTTGTGCTTATAGATCTTTGTGTATGTAAACACACTTGCATGCCAACTTTTCAAGTGGTAACATTTATATATGCAAATTTACTTTTGTCAGACCTGTGTCTGCATGAGAAGTTCCAACTGCTTTGAAAACCGAGGCCTATGCTCATTCCAGAGTTCTTCATTTAGCCCTTCTAGTTTTATATATATTGATGAAAATGAAACATTTTGAAAACTCCAAAGAAAAGCAGCTAGTAGAGCAAAATAAAAGAAACAAAGATGATCTTTCTGGTCTGTTCGAAATCAAATTACATTACCAGCAGGATAAGGGAGATTGGGAAGGTAGAACTGAGATAAAAGTGTAATTCCACTTACTGAAAAGATGCAGTTACCAGATAGTGGGCAAATTCTTCCTTTGGCAGGGAATCTAAATATCTTCAGATTGCATCGTAAGGGGAAGATATGCAGAACCGAAAATGACAAAAGTAACTACAGTTTAATGGCACAATTGTTGCAAATGTGTCAGGTCAGGTTAGCATAGAGTGTGTGTCTGTACACACACGTGTACCTATAAGCACAGATGAAATACTACTTCTCTGCAAGGTGATTGTTATCAACGAAGTGGCTAAATGCTAATGTAATCACTTTCTTATCTTTGCAGATGCGTCTGCGAGACCGGAAGGACTCTCCTCAGTTGCTCATGGATGCTAAACACATCTTTCCTGTTACTTTTCCATTTAATCCATCCTCTCTGGCATTAGAAACCATTCAGATCCCAGCCAGCTTGGGCCTGGGCTTCATAGCACGTGTCTGATCCCAAGGATGCACTGTCTGTGTTAGATGGAGAATCAGTTGCCCGATATCTTTACCCGTTAAAACATAGTGAGCCACTGAAAACACATTTTCTGAACAAACAGTCTATATATGCCCAGATCTGTAGTAAAAATAGCTGGAAAACTACGTAACAGCACCACAGATTGAAGACTAATAGAAAGATGTGCATTTGTGTTCAGTCACTGCATTTATGAGGACATCACTGATCCATACATTTCCAGAATATGGAAATCGGGCTTGGACAAAAATTGTGTCTTCAGCTGTCTAGAGACATTTTTAGATATTTAGTAACATATTTAAATAGTGTAAATTAAACTCCATGTGTAATCTTCTCATAGGAAGGGACCAACAGGGACAGTCACAGTCCTGAACATGGAAGACTTGAAAGTAAGGCATTTTGTAGTAGAATACACAGTCACTTGGGAGCCTGTTGCATTTAATTTGTAAAAACTGGAATGGAGAAACACAAAGTGGCAATATATAAAATGATTTCTTAAACCACTTCCTTATTTATGTCAGTTTGACATAAATTCTAGTGATAAGTCTTATAGCTCACTATATGCTGTAACTTAGGTGTTCATTTGTTAGTACTGTGGTTTACCAAGCATACTAAATTGCTGCTGCATATTGTGTTCTTTTAAATGTATGACTATCATACTAGGCACTAAAAATAAGATACTTCATTTTTCTGTTGTCAACCTTATTTACAGTCCGATGCAGTCTGTTATTTTAACTGGATTTTTGCAAATGGTATCAAATAACACCTGTAGAGGAAAATGGTAACTAAGCACAAGTAGCACACTGGAAATTACATGTTTAGTTATTTTTAAAAGTAGTTAGCTAAAAATACAGAATCTTGAAGCAAATGATCAGAAGCCAATAATTACTTCAGTATTTATTTAGATTTTGTAGTCTGTCTAATGTTCTTCTTTGTTTGTAGACCCCAGAGATGACAAGTGTGTATTTTGAGTGTAATCTCTTTTGGTTTGTTGCCACTTAAAAAAAAAAAGAAAAGAAGTATTCTTTCATACTGGAATTTGAGGGGAAAAACTTTAATAGAAAATTTCTGCAGTAGCCCAAGGCTCTCATTCTTTGAAAGGTTGACTAACAAGAACGTTAAGTAGGTTTTGACTATGATGCTGTCATTTGACTATGATTCATGCTGATTTAACAGTTGGAGATCCAGAGTGCATAATGAGAAACTGAGTTATTTTGGATATTGCACATCTTATTGGAAAGATTCTTCTGTCTCGCACATCTTGGATCTGCTATATAGAATTCACATTTCACAATGCGCAATGTAAGTGCAGAAGCCTTGCCGAAGGTTCCAATTCTGAACTTTAAAACAGGTAGTTTGTGGTGTATGGCTCAAATAGACATGTAAAAAAAAAGCCACACACATTGCTCAATTGCATTGTGCAATATTTTTTATGTATTATAATAACTAGCAACTTAGCATTAATTTCTCTTAAAATACTGAGAAGTAATCTAGAGGTACACTATTAGACTATTTGGTACTAATCTGTTTGCCTGCAAACTCACAGAAAAAAATTTGCTGTTAAGCAGACTGAAGCATTTCAGTTGTGTTTTACTTGAGAGGTAGACATGCTGTTTGTATGGTTGCTAAAATCGGTAGTAAAGACAACCTAAACTTTGTCAGTATCACTTTAAGATGCTCATGTCGTCTTATTTTCAAATGTGTATACCCCATATTATGTTTGATGGATCATGCCAGTACTTCCAAGAACCTAGTACTGCACTGCATAAATGTTTCGAATGATCTTTGCTAAATGATTTGGATTGTTTTCCTGTGCACGGTATACCAAACACTCTTTTTTCAAATGTTACTTGATTTCTGAAACTACGGCTACTGTTAAGTGGCTCCAAATAAGGTATAATGTAGTTTTCAGACTGTTAGGGGTACTGTACTTGCGGGGATGTAATGGGAAAGCCTTCACATCCAGTAACAAGGTTAGGAAAGAAAATACGTGAGAACATGCTGACCTACAATATTTTTGTCCTATTGAAAAACAAACACTTGGCATTACAGTATGTTCATACTGTAGATCAGGAAATGTATCCACTACTTAAGCATTAGTGTATTAAAATGTATGCCTAAATGTATTTTTGTTTATTTTTTAAGTTTGTTTACCTGTAAAAAGCCTTATTGTATCTTGTTTCCTTAAAAAAAAAGTAGTGTTTAGTAATTTATAGGTATTATCCTTAAACTCAGTGGTTTGACTGGTATTACTTTTATATCACATTAAAAGTATATGCTGCTTGACATGTTTTAAAGGAAAATATTTTTAAGTTGGAATAGATGTGTAATTGGTAATTCATCTAATATTTTACATGGCAGTATTTTACATGCACTTTTCAGAAGTAAAATTTTAATGTCAGTGTATAATATATCTTTCACCTTAGGACTAATATCTCTTTAACCATGGAATATAATGCAGAATTATTTTAAAAACTTTTTTTTTTCCTTTGAATCATTGTTATGCTCTTTTAATGTGGACATATCTTTTATATTTTAATTTATTATCTATTGCTATGATAGATTCTATCGGATGCTGGAAAAATACTTGTCAATGACCCCTTAGAATTATATACAGTTATTCTAGAGATTTTGCACAATAATTACCTCATTCAATTTGGTTTATTTTTATTCCAGTGATCATTTTATTCTGATGTTTAGGACACAGTCTTCTAACCAAATTTTGGAAAATTGCTTCTCAGACTTCAATCTGGGATGGAATGTGAAAGTGCTTAAGTCTGTTAAATGTGATTAATCTATTCTATCACAGGAAAAAATAGGATTAATGTCAATGTTGAGAAGTGGATTGATATCCAGTAACATTTGCGCCCAACTTGGAAACACCAGCATTTGCAATTTGAAGGTCTGTATAATTTGTGATTTAAACTGAACACATTTCAAATACCGTACAAAAACTAAGAGTAAACACTTGGGTTTTTTAAGATGCTGATACTTCATGTGATAAATAAAAGCCTTTAAACGTAGGTTTTCACCCGATGCCACTACAGTACATAGATGAAAACCAAAACATTGTCAGAATGACCTGAGCTCTGATCTGTTGTAGTGTCTGATGTTGTACTTAGTAAATGTATGCATCATAAAAACTGTAGCCTAATAGCTATCACTGGAAAATGTCCAAATAAAAATACAACTGTTAAGATTTGCTTTGGGGTTTTTTGTTTGCTTGTTTGGCTGGTTGTTCGTAAGCTGTGCGCTGGCATATTCCCCAGACGATCACACAGGTTCCCTCTACCTTCATGGCAGACTTGGTGTCGACTGCCAAGGGAGCTGGTTAAAGTCTGAGGATTGTATAAATACACACCCAGATACTGACAGTGCGCCGTAAACTGCTGTGCATATTTGAACATAATTTGTTCGACATAACCCATTTCTGTTAGGGTATTTTGTCACCAAATATTAACTGTTACTGAAATAAGATTTGCACTTTGCTAAAACATTGTCTTCTGTGCCATGAAAGCTCTTCGGTGCCAGGCAGGCAGGTAGGACTAGTGGGCCTCTGGGCACGCATCTGCCTGCCCAGACCAGGTACTACGTTTATTCAGATCTTCTTTCTCATAAAGGGTATTTAAACATGACACCTATTGGTGCCCTAAGCTTAGTAAATGCATTCCGAGTTGTTTATTTTTATCTAAGTTTGTTAGAGAAACTCCTTGATGGCCTTTTACAGGACAGTGATTAATGTTTCTGTCGCTTTTCCCTACCGCGTCAGGAATGGCTCCCCTGAGCGAGAGTGGCCATTACTCCTAATCCCTAAAGATGTACCCAAGATGCCAGCTTGGCCAGGATCATTTTAAGGCCTGTTACCTGTATATGATAATTGGGACTACCACTCATCTCCGCTATACTTAGATACCTCAGGAGCTAGCGTGCAAGCTGTCCGCATAAAAACCCCCACGCGTGCTTCAACCGGGTGCTGCGGGTCACTGAGGCGAGCGGAGCGCCTCAGCTCGTGCCTACGGCGGGGGACCGCCCCC